TATAGGAAAAGCATTATACTGAACTGAATAAAGAATAATAGCTTTATATTGGATCATACTAATACTGATACGGGCTAAAGACAATGTGGTATTTGTATAGAAGTATTCCAAAATGACATTCTGATAATCAACATTTGTTCTGGTATCATACGCATAATACAACTGATCTTTATAATTTCTTAACGTGACATAGCTTCTTCTCCCCCTGCAAACAAAAAAGAAAACAAGGTTATTTAATAAAAGGATCATGCGACAAATAATCATTGTGATTCAAATTGATGCAAGGATTTTTTTTTGAATAAGCAATGCTTTTCACCAGAATCTTCTTTGTAAAAACGACTTTTACAAATCACAGCCATGCAAATCTGCCACTGTGTTGTAAGATCACTTTCAGATTAGGAGAAGTGTATTCTTTAATGAGTATTTTACATTGAATGGAACGTCTCAACTCAGTAAGCATGGCTGCGATTTGTAAAAGTTGTTTTTACAAAGATTCGGGTGAATAGCAGTGCTTATTCAAACAAATATTCGCATCAATTTGAATCACAATCATTATTTGTCGCTTAGTCCCTTTTAATGACCTTGTTTTCTTTCTCGTTTGCAAGGGGAGAAGAAGATATGTCACGTTAAAGACATCATAAAGATCAGTGTTGTATGCGTATATATTATATGCACAGGCCCCGCGGAACGTTTATCAAAGTGGGGGGCTAAAGTATTTACGATCAGGTAGAGGGTAGCGAGCGTAAATTGGTGTTGGGGGGGGGGGGGGGGTTCAGGGGTTTTAGGTATTTAATTACGGTCAGAGAAGCACAAATATTTTGTGCCGCATTTGTGTCACTGGCAGGTCAGGGGGGGGGGGGCGTTTTTATTTTATTTCTTAAGGTAAAATTTACGTTACTATCCTATTTTTTTTTACCGGTTTGGGAGGCTAGGGGGGGGGGGGGGGGGCGGGCCGGTAGAATCGACTCGTGGATCCGCGCCTGTCCAAAATAGCACACACACAAAATCGCCTCGCCGCTACGCGGCTCAGTAAAGAAAGAATGTAAAAGTTGCTCCGAATAATGAGGAGGAAATAATGTGCAGAACGGGAAAAAATCGAGAGAACAGCTATGTAGCTTGTAAATTTGTAAGAGGGAAAACGCTGATTAAAATGATAATAATGAAATTGCAAAAACTTGAGGAGTATCATAGGTACCAATATAATGGATATTTGTATAAAAAAGAGCCCCCGTCAGTACTAAAAGAGCCCCCGTGAGAAGGCTCACGGGGGCTCTTTTTTTTTGGGGGGGGGGGGAAGAGCCCCCGTGGACAAAAAATTAATTTGAGCCCTGCTCTCAATGCGTTCACAGTTTTCACACCTCTTAACAAATGTTTCTGGAATTCATATAATAATACATGTACTGTGTTTATTAATTACATCTAATGAATTCTTTAATTTCCTCAGCCAAATCCTTTCTCAAATATAAAAATAATAAGAATGCGTACAGACATACCTTGAAATAACTGAAGAGACAAACGGCCACTGTAAGTCTTGAACACGCCAGGTCTGGAACTTCAGTCTTCTTCTACCCCCCCCCCCACACACACACACACTCCGGGGTCGGAGGGACCGCATGCACGTTCCTAAAATCTCCAGGAAAGGGGTACTTTTTCGCGCGACAAAATCCGGCCCGAGAATTGTAAACAAAAAAAAGGGGAGGGGGGGGGGGGTATTCGACTTTTCACCCGGAGATTTCTTTAAAAAGGGGGTGCTTTTTTTTCTCTCTCTCTTTGGAATCCTGAGAAATGTAAAAAGGGGGTTATAAAATATCTTGAATATCATAGAAAAATTGATCAAATTCCGGGATCAAATTCCTGAAATTCCTGCTAGCTTTGAAAGCTCACTCAGGATTATTTCATTTTGAAAAGTAAAAACATTGGCCCCTAGTCCCCCTCGATCGACTAGAGCTCTCCTGAAATTGGTGGGGGGGGGGGGGGGGTGGTACATTTAGCAGTGTTCCGGATTTTTTTTTTTTTTTTTTTTTTTTTTGGGGGGGGGGGGGGTCTCCAAGGCAGGAAAAGCCAGCAGAAATGTTGGATTATTTCATTTTGAAAAGTAAAAGCATTGGCCCCCAGTCCCCCTCGATCGACTAGAGCTTACCTGATATTGGGGGGGGGGGGGGGGTGTGGTACATTTAGCAGTGTTCCGGATTTCGGGGGGGGGGGTCTCCAAGGCAGGAAAAGCCAGCAGAAATGTTGGCAGTCCTGAGATAGGGTGGGGGTGCTTTTAAAGGGAGGGAACGAGCATACGCGTACCCTAAATAACACTAAGTGGGGGGAGCCGGGCATCTACTGTATATTATTGCACTTTTTAAGCGCTCGTGCGCTGGCGCACTTTTCGTCTGGGCTATAATAATACCTTGCAAAATAACGAAAAATTATTCTGAAGTGTTTATGAAGTGCTTGTTCGCGCACGTCGCGCAACTACTCTTAATGATCGTGACATACTGTATGCGTGTAGGCTATACAGTTATACATACATAACAAAAAAATAACTCATTTCTCATGCATTATGCTGAAATTGAAACAATCACTTTTTTTCTTCTTCTTCTTCTTCCTTTTTTTCTCTTTTTTTTTTGTAATATCAGGGGGGGGGGATGTTTGTACAGGCCATCCCCCCTACTTCAAGCCAGGGGGGATGCAGCCCCCCCCCCCATCCCCCGGGATTTACGCCCCTGGTTCATATCCTACTTGTCTATGATCGACACAAGTTGTGGTCATTTATGATATTCGCTCCAAACTAATGTATATAACATGCGATGTTCCTCAGGTAAGCATTTTAGACCCAATTTTATTTACAAGTTATATCAATGGTATGTGTATTTGTATAAAAGACTTTAAACTATTATTGTACGCAGTTGACAGCGTACTACTCTATTCAAATCCGTATCCAAAATAGCTTGAGGGAAAGCTCAGTGAACAGCTGTCTACCTGTGTCGATTGGATGACTGATAATAAGCTTTCTTTACACTTGGGAAAAAACAGAAAGTATTTTGTTCTGTTCTAAAAGTAGTTCTAAAAAGTAATTTGAATTCAAAGTGATACACCATAATCGAGTTATCAAGAGCATATAATCTGTGAAGTATTTAGGCGTTGAGTTGGCTAGCGTAATTTTATTTTCATCGAATTAGTAGAATCATTTGTAAAAAATGCAAATTCTCGTCTGAAATTTGTGCACAGATATCAAAGTTATTACAATGATTATTACAATGATTTGTTCAACAGTGTTAAAGGCAATATAAGAAAAACTTGGTCTCATATCTATGAATTGTTAGGTCGGTCAAATAGGCATTCACTTCCTCAAGAGATGGATTTTAGTGGAGTACTTCTTTCATCTGCCAAGGATAAGGCTGAAAGTTTTAATAAATATTTCATTGGACTACCCATGAAAATCAGTAAAGATATTCCTCAAGTACCACAATATTTTGTGATTATATGAAACAGTGTGACGATAATGCATCTATGTTTCTAAAAACCAACTTCAAACTCTGATATCATCGATATTGTATCATCTTTGAAACCATCTAAATCTAGTGGTTCTGATGATATTTCACCTAGAATTATAAAGGAGTGCATACACCTTTTTATTGATCCCTTATGTAAAATCATTAATATGTCTTTATCTCGGGGAGTTGTTCCGGATAAACTCAAGGTAGCTAAAGTGGCACCAGTGTATACAAAATCTGACCGTAAAAATGTCATTAATTATAGGCCAATAGCATTGTTACCAATCTTTTCTAAAATCCTTCAGAAAATAATTTATAAACGCTTAAATGACTTTCTATCTAAAAAGAATATCTTGATTCCTCAGCAGTGTGGCCTTCGTAAGCACTTCTCCACACAAATGGGTGTGTTTCAGTTATTAAGCAATATCATAAAAGCTATTGATGGAGACAGGTATTGTCTGGGGATATTCTTAGATCTATCTAAGGCGTTTGATACCATTGACCATATGGTATCCTCCTCAGGAAACTAGAGCATTATGGAATACGTGGTGTAGCATTTTCTTGGTTCCAAAGCTATTGTTTGACAGGACTCAATTTGTTGTGGTGGATGGTACTAGTTCCCATCTTGCTGCCATTAAATAAGGTGTACCTCAGGGTCCTTTTCTTGGTCCCCTGTTGTTTTTAATCTATATAAATGATATAACACACTCATCAACATTATTCTCATACTCACTGTTTGCTGATGATACCAGCTTGCTGTTGGTTGATAAGAAGGCTGAAGATTTATTACTAATTGCAAATCAAGAGATTCAGAAACTGTATGCATGGTATTTTTGTAATAAGTTATTGTTGAATGTTCAAAAGACCAAATGTGTTATTTTCCGCTCAAAGCGTAAACAGCTTGCAGATGGTATTACTTTTCTTAATGTTTGAGGCCATGATAGTGCGCTTTATAGTGAAAATGTTCAGTTCTTAGGATTAACTATGGATGAGCATTTATCTTGGAAGAATCATTTAGATGTTGTATGCACTAAGTTGTCCCGAAGTGTAGGTGTCATTTTTAGATTCAAATTCATTTTACCTGAAAGAGTGCTGATAATATTATATGATAGTATTATTCTTCCTTATTTGACATATTGTAATGTTGCTTGGGGAAACACTTTTAAGTCATATCTTGATAAGTTGAGAGTATTGCAGAAGAAGGCAATAAGGCTTATTATATACTAATTCTAATACTACTACTAGGTCGAGCGTACTCGCACTGATTTGACAAGCTTTTTCCATTCAGTTCTATTCTCCATGATCTTTGGGAGCTCCTGTCTTGGTAGACAGGTGTCTTTTTCTAACTGGTCAATGTAAGTCATTGCTGGGCGCCCTCTGGTGCGTTTGCCCCTTGAGGGCTCCCAGAAGAGCATTTGTGAAATAATTTCACTCTTGCTCCTCCAGCAGTGCCCACTGAAACGGAGGCGACGGTCTCTCAGTCTGGCTGAGATCGGTGTAATGTCCCTATACAGTTCAATATTGGTCATAATTATGGTCACTCCAGTTGACATTTAGTGCTGCTCTCAAGAGTCTTGTATAGCAACCATTCAGTTGTTTTGCCAGGCTACTCGTCAATGTCCAGGCTTCTGATCCATAGAGCAGTACAGTTTCCACTGAAGCCCTAAAGAAACGGACTTTCAGTTTTCTACCGAGGTTTGATTTCCAAATGGCTGTCAGCTTGTTCAAAGCTGTCCAGGCTTTTGCCTTTCGGATACTCAGGTCTTGTTTTGACTGATCAACCCACGAGCCGAGGTACTGAAAGTCTTGGACCTGCTTCAGCTTTGTCCTGTCAGCAGTACAGATCTCGCCTTCACGAAGGTTGTACATCATGAATTCTGTCTTAGTGCTGTTTATTTGTAGACCGACTTGGCTTGCTGCAGACTCTACTTGTTCTAGGAGCTTCTGTGCCTTTTCCAGATTGTATGAGATTAGTGCAATATCATCAGCAAAGTCGGTATCTGTGATCATTTCAGCAGGATATCTGCTACTTTTCCTTTCCTGTAGGGTGAAGCCTAGATCCTCGAACCCTTCAGTAGCCATTCTTAGAGCATAATCCAATGCAATGATGAATAGGTATGGGGCTAAGGTATCTCCTTGAAGCACTCCTGATGGTAAAGATGGTAAAGATGGTAAAGGAGTCAGTCTCTCCATCTGGTGAACGTACTTGAGCTGTGGTATCTTTGTACATCAATCCTACTGCTGTAACTATTGTGTGTGGTATTCCATAGGCTCTTAAGATCTCTAAAATCTTCTTCCTATTGATTGAATCAAAGGCCTTCTTAAAATCCACTTTGCTTTAATACCTTCCACCAGTCTTCGCAAAGTTAGAATTTGCGCTACTGTAGATCTTCCTGGACGGAATCCATTCTGGTTCTTGCGGAGAAGGGGTTCCAGGTGAGGACGGATTTTATTCAAAAGCATTTTGTTGAATACTTTTGCAGCTACTGGGGTCAGTGCTATACCACGGTAGTTTTGAGGGGTACTGAGATCTCCCTTTTGGGGTACAGGGATTATTATGCTCCGAGACCACAAGTCTGGTTTCTCGCCATGGATAAGTGATCTGTTGCATACTTCCAGAAGCTGTTGGTCAAGGGCACCAGACTTCCATACCTCTGCTGGGATTCCATCCACACCGGGGCATTTATTATTGGAGAGGGAGGTAACTGCTACTTTGAGTTCTCCAATGGTAAATTTGCTTGTTTTGATTTGGAGTGTCTTTTGGACCATCTTCCTTACTGGGTTGTTGTTGTCTGGTGGAGGTTGACCAAGTAGATAAGAAAAGTGATCTTTCCAATGGTTTAGTCTCTCTTGTGGTGTTTTACCTCTAAGCTGATCCACTGGGGTCGAGGCCTTTCCAGTGATCTCTTTCACAATATTCCATACTTTCCTAGTCTGCTGTTGGAATGCACCAATCTCTATCTCAGTGCATTTTTGAGCTATGTAATTTGACTGCTCTTCATTGTATGCATCCTGGAGATCTTTCTTGACTTTGTCAAGTGTTTCTGCGTGTTCGGCAGTTGGTGCGCCATTCTTTTTATTATATGCTACTTTAAGGCATTTCCGTTTCTCCCTAATCTTTTCGTTTTCCCATGGCACCCGTTTCTTCTTGCCCTTTCTCTTTGATACGTATTTTGTGGCTGCTCCTTCGTGAGCTTCTATCAGTGCGGAGAAGATCTCATTCGCTGTAGGATTCTTGATGAATTGATACAATGCCTCAAATCTGTTGTTGACCTCTACTGTATATGCTTCCTTAACACTACTATCTGATTTAAAGAGCTGCCAGTCATGAGGAAGATTTGATTTGGCTTTTACCTTCTTGTTGCTTCTCAAGCTCAATTGTATTCTGGTGGAAACTATTCGATGGTCCGAGTTCAAGGGGCCAAAAGTGTTATAAGCTTGACAGTCTTTCACACTATGTGACAGTCTTTCACACTATAAATTGTAATTATAGACATCCAAGTTCTCCATTGTTTCTTCGACTAAGAATGTTACCACTGAGTGGACTTGTGTCGTTCAGTTGCGTTTTGTTTATGTTTAAACTCCAGTCTATGCATTATGAATGTACGTTAAAAGATTTATTCCGTCAAAACTCACAAATTCATAATTATAATACACGTCAGAGGGGGTTTTATTCATCAGCCTTTTGCAAGAACAAATATCACTCTGACCTCTTTCAAAATCTCTTGCATCAAAGAATGAAACAGTTTGCCTTATGATATACAAAAAAAAGTACAACTCTTTCTAGGTTTAGAAGTTTATCTAAAACCCCGAAATAAACACCCAAACTATAAACAAGACCAAATAACCAGTATTTTATCTCTTTTTTGGAAAAATGAATTTCCATAATTATGTTTTGTCCACAAATCACGTGACTTTGTAACGGTAGGTCCGATTTTCAAAAAAATTATTTTAAAAGATGCGCAAGACACGAAAGAAAAAAGTCAGCGAGCGGCGGGGCGCCATATCAGCGCTCCGCCCCCCCCCCCTCCACAGGATTCGTCGAATATTAATTTATAACCCGGCGTCCCATACTCGGGAAATGCATTGACGTAATCTACTAATAGAAATATATGTAAACAAACGATATGTCATCATTATTTATAAAGTACTCTCAAAGTTTTAGACACAGACACAGTATAAACACAGCACATACTGTTGTTATCAGACAGACAAAGACTTAATTGTTATTGCCTATAGTGACGTGTCCATCAGTGGCGGATCCAGCGGGGCACCCAACCCTGGGGGAAAAAAGTATAAAACACGTTAATTTTACCTTTTTTGGAGATGGGCCCCTCGATCCCCTGGCGCTCAAGAGGGGGGGGGGGGGGGGGGGTGCGATTTTTCAAATTTTCGAGGGCCAAAAAAAGAAATTAGTGCTCACATTACCAATGGGGAGCAGCAAAGTGGAAAAGCAAACGATTTTATTGATATGGGGGGGGGGGGTAGTGAGCTACTCAACACCCCACCCCTTTGAGCAGAAAAAAGGAAGAAAAAGGTACATTTTTGTTGTTACCATATTTTGTTCAACCTTTTTTTGTGCCAGGGGTGGGGCACCCCATGCCTTTGACCTACTTACTCCGAACTCGAACTCAGGCTGTGTTTTGATACCATGTACCGTCATATCAAATTTCATTAACATCCATCTATCATTACTAAAGTTATTGAACGGAAACCAGATTTGTGACGGACGGAGAGACGGAAGGACAGACGGCAGCGTTACTATATCCCCTCCGACTTCGTCGGCAGGGGATAATTAAAGGAATCAGAGGAGAGGGGCGAATGACATGTTATATGACTGATATAGCCTGAATACAGAACACTTTTCTCTTCTCTACCAGGTTCATACTTTTTAATTTTGTATATACTTATGTTTTCTTTTTTAAGAAGTTAACCCCTTAAGGGGGGAACAGCGGTATTGTCAACCTTTTTAGGAAGTTGTTTGTCTAGAGTATCATTCTTGACTTTGTACGGATATTGTCATTTATGTATTTTTCTTGTGTGTTTTGCAATTTTGATTTTATTGCTAAATTAATGTATTACCAGGTAATGTCATTAATTGGGGGGAAATTGTAGTAATGTGAGATTGTTACCTCCTGTGGCTGGACCTGGGTTAGTGCAGGCTATTGTTCAGTGTGCACTCAGGCCTCTCTTGCGATGGCTTGAGTGCACGCTGGACAATGACCTGGGCTTGCATGGGTTCGGTTGCAGGAGGTCACAGCTTTCACATTACTGGAGAAGACATTACTGCAGAGAAGTCACAGGTGGTGCACGTGCATAGTGGGCAATTGAGTTACATGACCACAAAGACTGTATTGTACAAGGGCGTACGTTGAAGTCAAGCCTTTTTTTTATATAGTGTGGGTGGGGCTGTTTTGTTGTCTTCAAAATAAAATACCCAAACATCAACTGCAAAGCGTCTGAGAGTGAATTCTTTGGTTTTTCTTAATTGTAGTAATGTGAGATTGTTGCCTCCTGTACGTGGCTGGACCTGGGTTGGTGCAGGCTATTGTTCAGTGTGCACTCAGGCCTCTCTTGCAATGGCTTGAGTGCACGCTGGACAATGACCTGGGCTTGCATGGGTTCTTCTTCTTCTTCTTCTTCTTTGGGTTAAGTCTACCTCCTTCACAGTTGAAGATTATTGCAGACTGATGAGTGTGTGTGTGTGCTTACAAGAGCAAGGTGCATGGTGCAATGCTATTTACATTGTGGAAGTAAAAAGTTCCCGGACTTAGTTGCTGCCTCCCGTCAGGCATTGACGGATGAGGCACATACTGTTTCTGATGGCAGGTTGTTCCAACTCCTCACAGTCCTGGGAAAGAAGGACTGCTTATATTGCTCAGTTCTTGAACGGAGGACTTGGTAACTATGTGCATGGGCAGTCATGGAAGGTCTTGTGACAGGGTTGATGTAGGATGCTGTGTCGAGTGCTACCAGGTTGTTGTGGAGCTTGTAAATCATCACCAGTCTGTAATTTTCTCTGCGTTGCTCGAGTGTGGTCCAGTCAAGTTGTTGGAGCATGGAGGTCACGCTAGAGGTGTTGTGGTACCGATTGAGGGTGAATCTAGCGGTCCGTCTTTGTACCATTTCTAGTTGATGGATGTGGTTTGCAGAGGAGGGATCCCAAACTGTAGAACTGTACTCAATGAGTGGTCTTACTAGAGCTTTGTAGGCAGTACTCTTCAGTTTTGGTGAGTTGATCCGGAGATTTCGTCTGAGGAAGGCAAGGGTGTTGTTTGCTTTCTGGCATATGCTTGTGATGTGCTTGTCCCATTTCAAGTCTGATGTGATTGTGATGCCTAGGTACTTGGTTGATGAGACTGCTTCCAGTGGTGTATTGTTCAGGATGTACTGGTGTCGTATCTGGCTCTTCTTCCTGGACACTGTGGTGGTATTGCACTTGTCCGTATTGAGCTCCATCATCCATTCAGAGGACAATTCAGCAAGCCTATTAAGGTCCTCCTGTAGTTCAATAGAGTCTTGTCTGCCCTTGATCGCTAGGTAGATGATGGCGTCGTCTGCGAAGAGACGTACTGGAGAGGTGAGGTTGTCTGGCAGGTCGTTGATGTAGTACAGGAAAAGAGAGGGTCCGAGAACAGAGACTTGAGGTACTCCTGAGTCGACGTCGACCTCAGGTGATATGGCCTTCTAGAACAACTTGCTGGGTTCGATGGTGAAGAAATTTGGTGATCCACCTGTTGCTTTTGCCTCTCACTCCATAGTGGTCCAGCTTGTGCATTAGTCTCTGGTGACCGACCTTGTCAAAGGCTTTGCTGAAGTCCATGACAAGGACGTCAGTTTGCAGACCTAGCTCCATGTTCGTCTGGAGGTCACTAACGAATCCCAGTAGTTGTTGCAGGAGGTCACAGCTTTCACATTACTGGAGAAGACATTACTGCAGAGAAGTCACAAGTGGTGCACGTGCATAGTGGGCAATTGAGTTACATGGTCGACCATAAAGACTGTATTGTACAAGAGCGTACGTTGAAGTCAAGCCTTTTTTTTATATAGTGTGGGCGGGGCTGTTTTGTTGCCTTCAAAATAAAATAACCAAACATCAACTGCAAAGCGTCCGAGAGTGAATTCTTTGGCCTTTATTTCACTGGTGTCAGAAGTGGGATAGGCGCTTTTGAAGTTCATCGGACGACCTGAACAACACCACAACGAGCAAGGATCAGGAGCTAAAGTGGAATCGTCAGCTGGAAGTTTGCAGACTGTGTATAGTGAAGAGACAGCCTCGGCCCGCGGGAAAACAAAAACAGTATTAACGAATTGAACTCATGTGCAATTTTTTTTTTTTTTTTTAATTTTTAATTAAAACTTCATGTTAATCTGTATTGCTATATTTAATTGTGCACATAATTTTGTATCAGTGCCCTCCTTGCACCATGAATACCCCTTCAGGACAAGCACTTGATGCTGACATGATGACTCAGTTCTTTCGGCGATCAATGGGACTGCAAGGAATTTCGCAGAGCCACCTCTCCAAGTTTAAGGGGCTTCCTGAAAGTGTGAATGATCTTTCACTTCCAGAATGGTTTGAGGAATTTGAGGAACTCACAGCTCAATTCAATCTGTCTAGTACAGAGAAGGCCAGATTACTCCTTGATCATCTAGCAGGTGCAGCCCGGGAGGAGGTAATGTACCTACAGGATGACAAACGGCATGATTTTGATGAGGTTGTCAGTACCCTTAAACTTTGCTTCGGTTATCAAGAAACAACCCAAACTCTAAGCAGCAAATTCCACAATCGTCGGCAACAGGAGGGAGAATCGCTTTGTGATTTTAGTAGAGCACTTGAACGTTGTCTTCGAGGTGGAGTCTCCTCCCGTCCTGGGCTTCGAGGTGGAGCCTCCTCCCGTCCTGGGCTACTTCGAGTCTCGGGAAATGCACGATGTGGAGTGCTCAACTGCTCATCGTGGTCAGTGGATGAGGCACCTTCATCACCTGGACCGTTGCTATCATCACCCTGGGAACCTCAGTTGTAGACTGGTCGGTATGGTCAGGTCTTATGTGCTGCCTGTTTCTTCGTAGGTAACTTCCCTCAGGGCTCTGGAGAATGTAGGAGCGCTGTCCCTCGGCCCTGGTATCAACTGTTGCAGGACACGACCGTCTGGACACTGGGTCGCGGTATCGTACATCTTGCCCAAGGTAAAGCTCTGGCAAGTCAGCTCTTCTGGCATGTTTGTCAAAATAGAACTTTTGACTATTCTGTCTTTCCTGCAGCTGATTGTAGATGTCATCAGCATCTGGCTGTGTTCTCTGCAACTTGGCTGGGAGTGTAGTTCTCAACTGGCGATTCATGAGAACTTCAGCTGGACTTGGTAGTTTCTCTGATATGGGAGTTGTACGCCAAAGAAGTAGTGCTAGCTGAATGTCTGAAGTCTTCTTCATGATACCCTTGATGGTTCTGATTTGTCTCTCTACAAATCCGTTGCCTTGTGGTCGTCTTGGGGACGATGTAGCATGTTCAAAACCCCATGACTCTGCAAACGACTTGAACTGGTAACTGGCATACTGGGGTCCATTGTCGCTCACCACCTTTGCTGGTATGCCATGCTCTGCAAACACTTGTTGCATCATAGTGATTACAGCACTGCTTGTTGCTTGGTCTGGTAACTGGCGAACCACTGGGTACTTGCTGTAGTAGTCCACCACAATTAACCATTGTTTGCCTTTGAATTCAAACATGTCGGTTGCCACCGTGTTCCAGGGCATCGTGGGAATGTCGTGTGGCTGGAGTGGCTCTGGCGTTTGTGCTGGTTGATGTTCCTGGCATCTCACACATGACTGCACCACTCTGTCAATGTCTTTGTTCATGTTACTCCAGAACACCTTTCCTCTGGCCAGCAACTTGGTTTTTTGTTGGCCTAGGTGACTGGTATGGAGCTTCTCCAAGATGTCTAGTTGCATCTGCTTGGGAATGACAACTCTGCTTCCCTTGAGAATTATACCGTCGCTTACTGTTAACTCATCTCGGTAACTCCAGAACTCTCTCAACTCTGGTTGCACTCGCTTCACCGTATCAGGCCAGCCCGTCACAATAACTTCCATCAGTGCACTTAGGACTTTGTCTTGTCTTGTAGTGTGTTTCAGTTCATCTACTTTCCTCGACGAGAACTGCACCAGATCTACTCTCAGATCAAGTTCAACTGTTTCATTGTTGTGAGTGCTTGGTAATCGTGAGAGACTGTCTGCGAGCAGGTTGTCTAGTCCTGGACGGTGTGTGATCTGGAAGTTGTATCCCTGTAGTCGAATCAACATCCTTTGTAGCCTTGGAGGGGCTGCTGTGAGAGGTTTGTCCATAATCATCAGAAGTGGCTTATGGTCTGTGATCACATGGAATAGCCTTCCATAGAGATATGTGTGAAAACGTTCTACTCCGAACAAAATAGCAAGCAGCTCTCGTTCAATACACGAATAGCGTGTTTCAGTTGAAGATAGGGCTTTGCTTGCGTAAGCTACTGGGCGGAGTCTACCTTCCTGGTCATGCTGTAGGAGTGCAACTCCTAACCCTTGAAGACTTGCATCGCACTGCAAATACACTGGGGATGTTGTGTCGAAGAACTGGAGTAGTGACTTCTCTGAAACTTCTTGCTTGAGTTTCTCCATGGCTGCTTGATGATGTGGTTCCCAGATGAAATCAGCCTCTTTCTTAAGGAGATCTCTCAGAACTGCAGTCTTTGTGCTGAAATCTGGGATGAAGTGAGATAGGTAAGTAATGAAACCTAGGAAGTGCTGCAACTCTGCCTTGGTGCTGGGAGTCGGCATTCCTGCGAGGTCAGCTACCTTCTGGGGATCTGGCTGGATACCATCCTCTGAGTATCGATTACCAAAGAAGTTGATACTCGTTTGCCTGATATGGCACTTGTTTGAGTTCAGTGTGAGGCCTCTCTTTGCTGCTACTTGCATGAAGTTGAGAAGGTTGCGGTCATGCTCTTCTACTGTACGCCCAAAGATTACGATATCATCTGCTATGCATTCTGCCCCTTTACAGCCTTCTAGAACTCTGTCCATCTCCAACTGGAAAATGTCCTGACTTACACTGAGTCCAAATGGTAGGCGACAGAAGACATATCTTCCAAAAGGTGTCTGGAATGTGGTAAGTCTTTGGCTGGCCTCATCTAACTTGACTGACCAGTAGCCGCACTTTGCATCTAACTTGGAGAAGTGCTGCATGTTGTGAAACTTGTGATTCAACTCCTCCAAGGTCTGCTGTTTGTAGTGAGGTCTGATAAGTGCCTTGTTCAATCTGCGAGGGTCTAAGCAAATGCGAATGCTTCCATCCTTCTTGGTGACATATGTGATTGAGTTCACCCATTCGGTTGGTTCGATGATTTGCTTGATGACACCCTGGCTTTCCATACTGTCCAGTTCTGCCTTGACTTTGTCTTTCAAGGCAATAGGCATCTTTCTAGGAGCGTCAACATGACTTGGAACGTTGGGGTCAACTGTCAAGTGATGTGTGGTACGAAATTCTCCAATCCTATCGAACTGCTGTGGAAAGAGTTGTACTAGAGCCTGGACACCACTGACTTGCGTTTCAATGTTCAAAGAGCAATGGAGAGTAACAAGTCCAAACTCTACAGATGACTGGAGACCAAGTATCACTGGGCCGTTGGACTGAACCACGTAGAATAAGGTATCAGTCCATGCTGTGTCTCCATACTTGCAGGGAATAACAACTGTTCCATACTGACCAATCAGCGTTTCATTGTAAGCTGAAAGGATTGTGCCTGCATCTGGTAGATTTCGTGGAAAACCTTGACGATCAAGCTGCTCTGGATACATGTTTCTGAAAGTTCGAAGTGGCAGTGTATTCGCTTCTGCTCCTGTATCCACCTTTACTTTCAGGTCATGGACACCTGGTTTGTCGTCCAATTTGATGTCCAAGTGTGCAATAGCTTCATTCCTCTTCACAGAGTCAATGATAATCGTGTCAAAATGAAACCTGTCAAATCGTTGTGGTAATGTACCCAGTTCACTTTCAGATTCGGTGTGTTCCTCTCGCACGTTATCCACCTGTTTGGAACGTCGTGATGGGTGTTGGCGTTCATCCACCCCCCTCTTCTTCCGGGAAGAAGCATAAGACTTATGATATTTCTGTGGTTGTTTGAGCTTGGTTGATAGGCACAATTGAGCACAATGTCCTTGCTTATTGCACGAGAAACATGTAACACTCGCTGCTGGACAATACTCCTTGCCGAATCTATGTTGTCTCCCACAGTTCTTACATAAACTCTTAGGTTGTTTCTGCTGTTGCACTGCATCTATGCTCTGTGTTGGATGATACAGAGACTGGAGGGTTTGGACATGTGACTTTGATGCTTCATACGTCCTTCCCAGCTGTAGAGCACCCTGTAGTGTAAAGTCCTTCTTTGTAGTAAGTAGGTCTTTCCGGAAATCTGCGATGGGTGTGCTGGCAATAATCTGTTCAAGGATTCGCTCATCTAGCTCCTTGTGATCAAATTCGCATTTACGAGCTATCTGTCGACATCTGTTTATGAAATCGTCCAACTTTTCATCTGGCCTCTGCATTGTTCTCGACAGCTTCAGCCGACACACTCGAAAATTGTCTTGAGGTTCTAGTTGCTCCTCAAAACGGTCTAGGATGATCTTTGCTGTTTGTTCAGACTCTGATAATGTCCAACAATTGTATCGCTGAAGGCCCTCTTCACCCGCAGCAAGTAGAATGATAGGAACTTCATCCTCTTTAGGTGTGTGCTTAGCCAAAAAGTATAGGCTCAATCTTTGTCTGAACATACGAAAAGCTTCAGCAAGGTTTGGTGCACCCCAATCCATTCGTGGTATATGATCAGCCATGTTAATGTTACTTCAATGCTGTGCTTCAGAAAAAGGAACAAAATGCTGGAATGTGTCACCACTCACCCTCAGGCATCAAACAAACTAACTGTTCATGGAATAATGGTGTCTACAAATTCCTGTGTGTTTCTCCTGAACAAGGAAAAAACCAAAATGGCTGCTGCTGTATTGCAAAATCCAAGATGGCTGCTGCTGTGTTGCAAAATCCAAGATGGCTGCTGCTGTGTAGCACATGGTACTGTACTGGTAGGCTGGCACAAAAAACTGGCACGTTGAAGACTTGCACTCACCGCTTGCCACCATGTCAAAAATAGTGGGTTTGTTATGTTGACTTCTTGGTTAGTACTACATGTAGCTGGGTCAAGAAAGTATAATAAAGCTCCACATATCTTTGCTTGAGGTTCAGGAGTTTATTGGTGTAACTAAAACATCATGCTTATGCTGTGCATGCTAGTGGTCAAGTGCAACTTACCACTCTCACATGTCCAGTACATAAGGCAGTGTATGAGGGTTGAATGTGTGCATGGCTAATTACTCATTAAATACATCACACACTCTGTGTGCCAAGAGTACTGTATTGAAGAGTGCTTTCTGCATGGTTGCTTCTGAATGAATGTGCATGGCTGTTTAACAATGAGCACATACAGGTGTAAGTTATATTCAAATAGGAGTGCTGCATAACTTCAGCTCATAACATTACAGTTATCAAGAAACAACCCAAACTCTAAGCAGCAAATTCCACAATCGTCGGCAACAGGAGGGAGAATCGCTTTGTGATTTTAGTAGAGCACTTCTACGAACCTATTGCAGGATAATGAAATCTGCGGAAAAGGAAGATCAAGCTGCCCTTACACAATTGAAGGATCATGCGTTGTGTGACCAATTTGTAAATGGAGCACAGGATGCCTCCGTACGGCGTGAACTACGACGTATCCAGCTTCTTCCTCTTCCTCCTCCTTCTCCTCCTCCTCTTTCTTCTTCACCTTCTTCTTTTTCTTCTTTCTTTTCTTCATCTTCTTTTTTATCTTCCTATTCTTCTTGTACTTATTATTTCTATCATTTCTACTTTAATGTTGTTATTATTACTATCATCATTATTATTTTTAATAATTTTTTCTTAACTTTCTGTAGATAATATGACTTTAACTTAATAATTTTGTCGGGGGCCCAACTGGAAATAAGCTCTGACTCGAGCTTTCGTGGGTTCAAGCTGACTTAATTTTGATCTGTTATTCTTTTATATTGTTGTATGTTGGAGACTTGGTGAATAAAATCAATCAATCAATCAATAATCATCTAGTACGGAATATAGGCGTTGGCCTTTGATTCCCGGTCACTGTATACGTCTGGCATTGCATTGTCACATGAGAAAGATAGTCCATGTCTTTAGTGTGCTTACGGGAGGAGTCGCGGAAGGTCACTTTGCTTGGTCCACCTTATAATCCTTTTGAAAGATTCAGTTGTTTTTCGTTTGCTCTATATTTTCAGGCAAGTTGCTTTTGGCTTTTCACACTGATTCAATGTTCGAGCCTACACGGATATAAACTATGGCTGTGAGACAAGTCCGGGCTGTCCAGTACAATTACCAACCGTATATATAGTAATTAAAGTCATCCTACCGTTTAAATCAATTCATGATGTACTGGCAGGAACCATATACATGCAAATCCATGGAAACATTTTTTTTCTATTTGTTTTTAGCTTGATTAGAATCCATCATGATTGACCTGCTTGGAGCTGGAGAGTCTGGCTTTGGTCAGTTTAATGCCCTGACCATCACAGCAACCCTTGGAGTGGTCACTGCTACGCTGGCCCTCTGGACCATCATGAGGCCAAAGCGATTTCCCCCTGGTCCAAGAGGTCTGCCTATCGTTGGCAGCATCTACAGTAAGTCAAATGTATATCCTAATTTACCAGGCACCAACTTCTAGTGATATTCCAACAAAATCGCAGAAAAATACACAGAGTGGATCGAGAGCCATTCAGCACCACAAACTTCAACTCCCAAAGAGCTCTTTTGAAAGAAGAGAAAGAAAGAGAGGGATAAACAAAAAAAGAAAAGAAAATATAATGAAACACATAGTCATGCAAACACTGGCGTACTGTGGGGGAGGCTTGGTGGTGGGGGGGGGGGGGGGGGTGGGGGGGGGTGAAGGTGCTAGCCACCCCCCCATTAAACCATGACTTATTTTTAATTCCATATAAGTGATATATATATAAATGTTCGTGCTATCACATGATTTTCAACATAATGCGCATTTCTTCATTTCTATTGCAAACTGACACATTTTCAGATAGCTAGAGAGAGCATATGTTTTTATAGTCACTAATGGGCCTAATTAGTGGCCATTAACAGTAACACTAGTAGAAAATTCCTTTCAAGAAGCTCCTGCGACAAGCACTGCCGGGAGATAACACGCTACCAACCACTCGGGGGGGGGCCATTGAAGGAGCGTTCACGTCGCGGTCCCTGTCAGATGAAAATCTGCGAATCCTTCAACCACACTACTCAAGTTTCTTTTAGTAACTACCACAACCAACACCATGGTTACCAATGACAATGATGACCAATTTGTTGATGAGGCCCAGGGTCGAACTCATGGGTCCTTGTCAGGACCGGCCCTGAGTATCATATCATTCAACATTGAAGTTCTTTCAGGCGCCAAACAAGAACTCTTGGCTGACCTATGCAAAACAACCAACTGTGACATTCTCTGCCTCCAGGAGACCCATCACGGGCCTACACGAGTTCGCCCTCGTATCTCCGGAATGACCCTCATCGCAGAGAGACCACATGACCAATACGGAAGTGCAATCTTTGCCCGAAATGATCTTGCTGTGGACAAATCTTACCTATCAGACATCAATAACATTGAGGTCCTTTCTATTGACCTAATGGGAATCACCGTAAGCTCCGTGTACAAGCCACCTCAAGAGCCTTTCGAGCTGCCCGGCAGAGCTACTGACGGCAGGATGAATGTGGTCATTGGTGATTTCAACAGCCATAGCATTTCCTTGGGATATAAAGAAATGAACGAAGATGGTGAACTCGTTGAAACATGGGCAGATGCTAACCAGCTCATTCATGACGCTAAGCTTCCTGCCTCTTTCAACAGTGCAAGGTGGAGACGTGGCTTCAACCCTGACCTGATATTTACATCTACCAGGATTGCTAACCAGTGCGAGAAAGTCATTCTCGACCCAATCCCTCACTCCCAGCACCGACCGATAGGGCTTAAGGTTAATGCAGTCATTAATCCACGAGCAGTACCCTTCCGACGTCGTTTCAACCTGAGGAAGGCAAACTGGGAAAAGTTTGCTAAGGACTTTGACTCCTACATCCAGGACCTACCTGCCACCCCCAAAACTACGACACCTTTGTAGAGTTGATGAAGAAATCGTCAAGGTGTAATATCACCCGAGGATGTCGCACAAGCTACATTCAAGGCTTGACGGACCACTCCAAGGTGATGTATGAAGACTACATCGAACACTTCCAGTTGGACCACTTTAGTGAGGAGACACTGGAATCTGGAGAAAATCTGACCAAGGAAATTGGTGAATCTAGAAGGACTCGAGGAAGTGGCAGGAATTCATTCAATCCACTGACATGACACATAGCAGCAGGAAGGCATGGAAAACGATCCGGATACTGGGCAATGACTATACAAAGGCCCAACCAAGATCTGAAGTCACTGCTGACCAAGTTGCCCATCAACTCCTATTGAATGGTCGGGGAAATCCTGACCATCACCCCAGAAGAACCAGAAGAGCCAGACTCCCTAAGGTCCCAGACGCTCCAAGCTCTCAAGATGACCCAGGCTTCACTAGACCGTTCACCATGAACGACCTGCTTGCTGCCATCAAAGCAATGAAAAACAACAAAGCTGCTGGACTTGATGACATCCTCTGCGAGCAGATCAAACAGCTTAGACCAGGCGCCCTGAACTGGCTTCTCAAAATGTTCAACGAATGTTTGGGCACCAACAACATCCCAAAACTCTGGAGGAAATCCAAAGTTATTGCCCTGTTGAAGCCTGGTAAAGATGCAGCCAGTCCAAAGAGCTACAGGTCTATCTCCCTACTGTGTCATACATATAAGCTGTTCGAGCGGCTTATCCTCAACCGCATCGCCCCATTCGTGGATGAACATCTATTTCCAGAACAAGCAGGGTTTAGGCCAGGAACATCATGCACTGGCCAACTCCTAAACCTCACTCAGATCATTGAGGACGGGTATGAGATTAAGCTAATCACCGGAGCTGCTTTCGTTGATCTCTCTGCTGCCTACGACACTGTGAACCACAGAATCCTTACCAGGAAGATCTTTGAGCTGACAAAGGACGTGAGACTGACTGGACTCATCCAGACGTTGCTGTCCAATCGGCGATATTTTGTGGTTCTCAATGGGAATCGCAGCAGATGGCGCAGACAGAAAAATGGCCTACCACAAGGAAGTGTGCTCGCACCGTTACTCTTTAACGTGTACACGAATGACCAACCGATCCACCCAAACACCAGGAGCTTCCTCTACGCCGATGATCTCTGCATCGCCACCCAGAACCAGTCTTTTGTGAAGTTGGAGGAGTCCCTCAGTGATGCCCTGGCCGGTCTCATCCCATACTATGCGACCAACCACCTGAGAGCTAACCCTGATAAAACTCAGATAAGCGCATTCCACCTCAAGTACAGGGATGCCAACCATCAACTAAGGATCAGCTGGTATGGGAAAAGGCTGAAGCATACTCCCAACCCAGTCTACTTAGGCGTCACACTCGATCGCTCCCTTACCTACAAGAACCACATTGCCAACACAAAGGCAAAAGTTGGAGCCCGCAACAGCATCCTCAAGAAGCTAGCCAACACCAACTGGGGGACTGATGCCAGAACAATCCGGACGACAGCCCTCGCGCTTTGCTTCTCTGCTGCGGAGTATGCATCACCAGTATGGAGTAGGTCGGCCCATGCACCCAAGATTGACCCAGCTCTAAATTCATCTTTCAGAGCGATCACTGGATGCCTTAGACCAACTAAAGTAGAGGACATCTACCTGCTCTGCGGTATTGCCCCTCCACACGTCAGAAGGTTGGTCTTGTCCCAGAAAGAAAAGGACAAACAAGAAAAAAAATCCTCTCCACCCACTCTTCGAACAACAGCCAGTGGGCAAGCGGCTCAAATCCAGACACAGCTTTCTGCACTCTGTAGAGCCTCTTAATACTAGCCCTCACAACCAAAGGATGACTTTGTGGTCTAACCACCTTCAGACCACTCCACATAAACTCTCCCTCAGCCCGAAGGAATCCCTCGCAACCGGCTCCAGTGAGACTTGGCTTACCTGGCTTAGCCTCAACCGCCTAAGAACTGGCTACGGTCGATGCAGAGTCCTAATGCAGAGGTGGGGTCTAGGAGACGAACAAACGGCATGTGAATGCGGCCAGGAACAGACAATGGAACACCTGCTAGCCTGCCCACTCCTGCCAGAGCCATGCACCCAAGATGACCTGGAAGCCGTGAATTGCCGTGCCAAAGCCTGTGTGGACCACTGGACGGGACTTGTGTAGTGACTCGATAAGAAGAAGACCAACCACTCGGACTGTACATGCACAGATTTGCGAACGAATGTTCCACTGGGGCCCATTGGGGAAACTGAATTCAAACAAGGATTAAGAGTAGAGAAATGTAAAACGAATCGTCTTCTTTCAATTTAATGAAACGGCAAAGCTTCCGCGCTTCGCGTGGAAGGGGGCAACTGAATTAAGACTAGGATTAAGAGTCGAGAACGTTAACGAATCGTCTTCTTTCTTTAAAAATGTAATAAAGTGTCACAGCTTCGGGAATAAGCTCCTGGCCCCGGGTTTATAGGGTTAAATTTGTAAACATTAGGACATAGGCATTGATATATTTGTCGGTAATTGGTGACTAATTTTGTCGTTAATCGGTGGCCTCTACACACCCACCCCCACTTAAAAAGGTCTAGCGACGCCCCTGATAACAACACAGTTTATACACTCGAGATAATTTTTGCAAGTACTACTGATGAAGCACCGGACCACCGTCTGTGTGCATTGTGCAGCAACGAAGCATATACAACGTCTCACGACGTGACAGATCACTTTTCTCTAACTTCTAACCATTCAGAAGGCCTCGTGTTTTTCCAGGAAGAGCCGGACAAATGTGGTTCTCAAATTACAAAAGATCCCTACTCTTGGAGGGGGTAGGAGAAACCAATTTTACGCCATATTACTCTAGGAAGTACCTGAAAATGCGTCTAATGTGGTTCTAAAATTGCAAATGCTTCCTATTCTGGGAGGGGGTCAGAACCCCCTCCCTCGCTCTGTCGCTTCATCGTATTAAATAATTATATTTCACCCCATGCCATTTTGTGCCCCCCCCCCCGTAAGAAATTCCTGGATCCGTCACTGATGCCCATACCCCTTGAGCTTCGGGGGCTCTGCCCCTTGACACCCGCCGGGGCCTTGCCCCTAGACCCTACTTTGAAAAACGTTCAGAGGGGCCTTCGGGTAAGAGTGGGTTGATGCGGATTTTTTTGTCACCCCCCCCCTCCCAGGAATAAAAAAAAAATAGATATATATATATATATATATATATATATATAAACCGTTTTTGCTCATTGCGCCACTGCATGCAAATTTCTATGAAGAATATTATTATACGTTTTAATCCAAAATCCAAAAATAGATCCATTTCACAAACAAGTATTCAAAAACAATTTGGTACTAGATTTTCTTATTGCTATTGTACTTTAGATCTACATCTAGACTAAGTTTTGTGCTTTCTTATTTTGGCTGTTACTGTCATTGTTTGAGGTTTTATACAGCTTCTCCTCTTGATATCTCATCTTGATACATTTTACTGTTAGTTAAATCTTTCATGTTTGTTATGCTCCTTTGGTTTTCAGGTATAAATGATTCTCCTGAGGTTGTCTTTGGGGAATGGGCCAAGAAGTACGGTGATGTCGTTGGCTTCAAGGCGGGGCAGAGATGGATGGTAGTCCTCAACCGCCAAGCATTGATCAAGGAAGCCGTCCTCAAACAGGGCGAGGACTTTGCTGGTCGTCCAGACTTCTACTCCCGTAAGTGGATAGGATTTAGTATTCAAATATTAACATGATAATTTATGCTATGACTATATAGAATAATGGTTGTTTAAGTTGTCAACATAATATTTTGTGCCGTGACAGGGATAATAGTTGTTACAGGGATAATAGTTGTTGGATATCAACATACTATTTTTTAATTATATCCTGCATCAAAAAATTATTGGTTTTTGATTGGTTGAGAGCTATATGAGAGTACTTTTTAGGAGTTGAAATTATTTGGATTTTTTTTTTCTTTCAATTTTTTTAATTCTTTTTTAATCTCATAATTTTTAAATTATTTTAAATTATCTTTTTATTAAAAAAATGAACTTTTTCAAATTTTAAAATTTTGATAACATTGTTTTCAAGATAAATTTTGGATGCAGGATATAAAACAAATATACCTTGTCTTCTTTTCGAGGTACTAGTTAAAAAAACTATGGGCCTCGGTGACTCCAATAGTACCATTTGCTTCGGTGCTGCGCCCGTCAGCAAATAGTTCTATTGGAGTCACCTCGTGCGCATAGTTTTTAAACCAGAACTTATCAAGACAGTGTATATTTGTATACTATGACTATGGGGTAATAATGTCGGAGCACCAGACAGTTACAGAATTGCTATATGATATCAAGTAATACTTTATGCTATGACTGGGATAATTATAATAATCAACATAATATTTTATGATTTGACTGATGTAATGATAAGGGACCACCAGGACGGACTGCTGTATGTATAATATCAACATTATTCTAATGCTATGACTGAGGTAGTAATCCAAGCCCCATCCAAGTCGACTACCTTTTTAGCTTTTCCTGCCTTCTCTCCTTTGCTTCTTCAACTTTACTCAATTATAACAATGTTGCTCTGCGTTTGTTGCATAATCATGTTTTTTTTTTATAGTTATATATGTTTAGATACTGAAATTATCTTTGCAACATCAGATAGCAGATGAAAGAGCAGAGAGGTTATATGCAGCAAAGATATGCAGATTCGGAGAAAAACAAAGCAATATGTGGGAGAGAGAAAGTTAGAGAGAAGGAATTGACATTTGAGGTGTTGGGGCATGCAGTCACCATAGTATTGCATGCTTAAAATTAAAAAAACTTTATTAAGAAAATAATCCTTGTATTTTATTGTTTTCTCTTGGCCAGCAATATATTAATGCTAATCAAATTTGGTTGACCTAAAGGGCATCATAAATGCCGGCCACTGTCGATCTTTACAGAAGGGGTTAAAATGAATGTATTGAAAAAGGATGTACGCAAACATAATTAAGTAGGTGTATATTCTTGCTGATATCGTGTTTTCATGTATTTCAATTTTCAGTGGAACTCCTCACGGAAGGATTCAAGGATATTGCTTTTAGCCCTTACAATGAGACCTGGAAACTTCATCGCAGGTTGGCTCACTCAGCTCTCAGGTAAAACTGAGCTAATATAGTCAGACCTGCTCAAGCGACCACCTGTGTAGAAAGACTACCTGCCTTTGATAATAGTAATAATAATAATAATAATAATAATATGTCTTATTTACCCAAGATTACTCCATCAGTATTAATAATATTCTCCCTCAGCGCACTGCAATCATGTTATTTATTACCCGGGCTGTATAAAGGCCACATGTGTTTGTTTCTCTTGTAACTGGCTTCTCAATGAAACACAAACTTACAGAACCTAAATATAAAGACCACCTGCCTTTAAAAAACAATTTCCTCGACTCCCATTAGCGGTCTTTGTATACAGTGTACATACGGGGTGTTTATCATTATCATGATCATTGCCATGTATTCAGCGGGGAAGCGGGGAATTGAATCACAGGCGCCAGTGATGAATGGGCGTCCGAATCTAAGTCTGGATCCGGCAACATTTTGCATTTTTGCGTTTTTACGTTGGGTTCATACCAGCGAGTGAAGAGCATTATACTGAACTGAATAAAGAATAATAGCTTTATATTGGATCATACTAATACTGATACGGGCTAAAGACAATGTGGTATTTGTATAGAGGTATTCCAAAATGACATTCTGATAATCAACATTTGTTCTGGTATCATAATATATACGCATAATACAACTGATCTTTATGATTTCTTAACGTGACATAGCTTCTTCTCCCCTTGCAAACAAAAAAGAAAACAAGGTTATTTAATAAAAGGATCATGCGACAAATAATCATTGTGATTCAAATTGATGCAAGGATTTTTTTTTGAATAAGCAATGCTTTTCACCAGAATCTTCTTTGTAAAAACGACTTTTACAAATCACAGCCATGCAAATCTGCCACTGTGTTGTAAGATCACTTTCAGATTAGGAGAAGTGTATTCTTCAATGAGAATTTTACATTGAATGGAACGTCTCAACTCAGTAAGCATGGCTGCGATTTGTAAAAGTTGTTTTTACAAAGAAGATTCGGGTGAATAGCAAACAAATATTCGCATCAATTTGAATCACAATCATTATTTGTCGCTTAATCCCTTTTAATGACCTTGTTTTCTTTCTCATTTGCAAGGTGAGAAGAAAATATGTCACGTTAAAGACATCATAAAGATCAGTGTTGTATGCGTATATATTATATGCACAGGCCCCGCGGAACGTTTATCAAAGTGGGGGCTAAAGTATTTACGATCAGGTAGAGGGTAGCGAGCGTAAATTGGTGTGGGGGGGGGGGTTCAGGGGTTTTAGGCATTTAATTACGGTCAGAGAAGCACAAATATTTTGATGCCGCATTTGTGTCACTGGCAGGTCAGGGGGGGGGGGGCGTTTTTTATTTTATTTCTTAAGGTAAAATTTACGTTACTATCCTATTTTTTTAGCGGTTTGGGAGGCTAGGGGTGCGGGCCGGTAGAATCGACCCGTGGATCCGCGCCTGTCCAAAATAGCACACACACAAAATCGCCTCGCCGCTACGCGGCTCAGTAAAGAAAAAATGTAAAAGTTGCTCCGAATAATAGGGGGTGCTTTCAAAAACAGGGAACAATCATACGCGTACCCTAAATAACACTGAGTGGGGGGGGGGGGGGGGCGGGTTCCTTCCAAGTTCCTGGTATAACTGCATGATCGATGATCATAATATCATAATATATACGCATAATACAACTGATCTTTATGATTTCTTAACGTGACATAGCTCCTTCTCCCCTTGCAAACAAAAAAGAAAACAAGGTTATTTAATAAAAGGATCATGCGACAAATAATCATTGTGATTCAAATTGATGCAAGGATTTTTTTTGAATAAGCAATGCTTTTCACCAGAATCTTCTTTGTAAAAACGACTTTTACAAATCACAGCCATGCAAATCTGCCACTGTGTTGTAAGATCACTTTCAGATTAGGAGAAGTGTATTCTTTAATGAGAATTTTACATTGAATGGAACGTCTCAACTCAGTAAGCATGGCTGCGATGTGTAAAAGTTGTTTTTACAAAGAAGATTCGGGTGAATAGCAGTTCTTATCCAAACAAATATTCGCATCAATTTGAATCACAATCATTATTTGTCGCTTAATCCCTTTTAATGACCTCGTTTTCTTTCTCATTTGCAAGGGGAGAAGAAAATATGTCACGTTAAAGACATCATAAAGATCAGTGTTGTATGCGTATATATTATATGCACAGGCCCCGCGGAACGTTTATCAAAGTGGGGGCTAAAATATTTACGATCAGGTAGAGGGTAGCGAGCGTAAATTGGTGTGGGGGGGGGGGGGTTCAGGGGTTTTAGGCATTTAATTACGGTCAGAGAAGCACAAATATTTTGATGCCGCATTTGTGTCACTGGCAGGTCAGGGGGGGGGGGCGTTTTTTATTTTATTTCTTAAGGTAAAATTTACGTTACTATCCTATTTTTTTAGCGGTTTGGGAGGCTAGGGGTGCGGGCCGGTAGAATCGACCCGTGGATCCGCGCCTGTCCAAAATAGCACACACACAAAATCGCCTCGCCGCTACGCGGCTCAGTAAAGAAAAAATGTAAAAGTTGCTCCGAATAATAGGGGGTGCTTTCAAAAACAGGGAACAATCATACGCGTACCCTAAATAACACTGAGTGGGGGGGGGGGGCGGGTTCCTTCCAAGTTCCTGGTATAACTGCATGATCGATGATCATAATATCATAATATATACGCATAATACAACTGATCTTTATGATTTCTTAACGTGACATAGCTCCTTCTCCCCTTGCAAACAAAAAAGAAAACAAGGTTATTTAATAAAAGGATCATGCGACAAATAATCATTGTGATTCAAATTGATGCAAGGATTTTTTTTGAATAAGCAATGCTTTTCACCAGAATCTTCTTTGTAAAAACGACTTTTACAAATCACAGCCATGCAAATCTGCCACTGTGTTGTAAGATCACTTTCAGATTAGGAGAAGTGTATTCTTTAATGAGAATTTTACATTGAATGGAACGTCTCAACTCAGTAAGCATGGCTGCGATGTGTAAAAGTTGTTTTTACAAAGAAGATTCGGGTGAATAGCAGTTCTTATCCAAACAAATATTCGCACTAATTTGAATCACAATCATTATTTGTCGCTTAATCCCTTTTAATGACCTTGTTTTCTTTCTCATTTGCAAGGGGAGAAGAAAATATGTCACGTTAAAGACATCATAAAGATCAGTGTTGTATGCGTATATATTATATGCACAGGATCCGCGGAACGTTTATCAAAGTGGGGGCTAAAATATTTACGATCAGGTAGAGGGTAGCGAGCGTAAATTGGTGTGTGGGGGGGGGGGTTCAGGGGTTTTAGGCATTTAATTACGGTCAGAGAAGCACAAATATTTTGATGCCGCATTTGTGTCACTGGCAGGTCAGGGGGGGGGGGGGCGTTTTTTATTTTATTTCTTAAGGTAAAATTTACGTTACTATCCTATTTTTTTAGCGGTTTGGGAGGCTAGGGGGGGGGGGGGGCGGGCCGGTAGAATCGACCCGTGGATCCGCGCCTGTCCAAAATAGCACACACACAAAATCGCCTCGCCGCTACGCGGCTCAGCAAAGAAAGAATGTAAAAGTTGCTCCGAATAATGAGGAGGAAATAATGTGCAGAACGGGAAAAAATCGAGAGAACAGCTATGTAGCTTGTAAATTTGTAAGAGGGAAAACGCTGATTAAAATGATAATAACGAAATTGCAAAAAATTGAGGAGTATCATAGGTTCCAATATAATGGATATTTGTATAAAAAGAGCCCCGTCAGTACTAAAAGAGCCCCCGTGAGAAGGCTCACGGGGGCTCTTTTTTTGGAGGGGGGAAGAGCCCCGTGGACAAAAAATTAATTTGAGCCCTGGTTCATACACAGAGTCTGTAAAAAGTTCAATGCCCCCAAAATAGTGTGGAGTTAATGTGTGGAACCCTGCTTGGGTCTCACTTCCTTCCCCCCCCCCCCACTCCGGGGTCGGAATGACCGCATACGTGTTACCAAAATCTCCGGTAAAGGGGGACTTTTCGTGCGACAAAGTCCGGCCCGAGAATTGTAAAAAAAAAAGGGGGTGTATTTGACTTTTCACCTGGAGATTTCTTTAAAAGGGGGTGTTTTTTCTTTATTTTCTCATCTCTTTGGACTCCTGAGAAATTATTCTGAATTTAGGGGGTACATTGAGATTTTTTTCCGAATATAGGGGGGTCTGCAAGGCAGGTAAAGCCCGCGAAAAGCCCGCGAAAGGGGGGTTCGGAAATGTTGGCAGTCCTCAGATAGGGGGTGCTTTCAAAAACAGGGAGCAATCATACGCGTACCCTAAATAACACTGAGTGGGGGGGGGGGGGCGGATTCCTTCCAAGTTCCTGGTATAACTGCATGATCGATGAGAATGTACAGGTGGGCCCCTAGTCTTTAATGAAGAGTACTGTCTGTGACCTCTATTTGCAATGTCCTATTCAAGGAATGTAGTGTTTGCTACTGCGTAGACAGGTTACTTTAGTCCATGTTTCAATGAGAAACTGTTACTGTTCCTGTAGACTGTGTTTATGGACAGAGACGGGGTGGTGGGTATTAACAAACAGTGCAGGCTGCAGTCAAATCTTGCCCAAACATTTGAGCGTTGAATATTGATTTTTATTTCTTTCAGAAACAGAAACAGTTACCCTTACCATAAAGTTTTTACCTATGGAATATATTGCGGGCCCAATTTATCATTGAAACGGAGCATTCCAATTTTTTAAAATTTGTTTATGATATCGTCCAAAATATCAAGTGGTTCAAAAGGGGTTTAAGTCCATTTTCAAAACTTTGATGGATCAAAGGCCAAGATCGCTTTTACATATATATTCTTATTTCATTCATGTATTTGTAATTTTAGGGGAGGGGGGTGGTGGGGGTATCAGCAAGTCAACTGGTAGTCTAGTTCTGGACCCTATATGATTTTTGTTATTCGCCGACTATAAACGTTAAGCCGAGTGATTGGCGCGATCCTTATTGAACGCCATTTCCCCACTAATCGCGCGAGAATAGGGTAGACTTCTCCTTTGATACGTGTTAAAAAAGATGTTAGTCAGTCACTCAATAGTGTCTGACAGGGAAGTCTAGAAACTAAACGGGTTCCGTGCATAATTTGAATACTAGGACACTGCTAACGTTAAATTTCACAGATAGGAAATACGTGACACAGTCATAATTGCTGCAAAGTTCTACAGAAGTTGACGTTGGCTGCAAAAGGGACATAGTACCTTTAACAGATATTATTACCCCGGTCATCAGATTCGTTCGCACACATGCAGTGTGCACTATCTCCACTCCCTTTGGGAGTATTCCTAACACGACCTTTGCATTTTATTTATTTATTTTTTTATTTATTTATTTCATTTCCAGGCAAGATGATAACATACAAAACATCACAAGGTTAACAAATGATAGAACATACTGTAAACATAATGATATTTAGCACCAGCCAATGCCTGAGGATCACCTAAAAGAATTAAAAAAATTCTGTCGAGAGGCTCTCCACATTGGCTGGTGCATACATAAAACAAAATATAAAGATAAGGTCAACATAATTTATAAATGAATGTGTAACTAAAACTAACGGTAATATACATGTAGATCAAATACTGTTAGGATTATTTTAAAGAAGGATTCGAAAAAGAGCTGTTCAAACTATGCATGTATGATAAATGCAGAAAATTGTCTGTTTATACAGTCATGTGGATACGGTAATATTGGAAGTTAGCAAAACTGTATAACATTATGAATTTGAGTTGATTTGATTTGAAGTTATCCAAATTATGGAAAATTATTATTGATGATTGAAAGTTATCCAAATTGGAAGACATTATTATCGATTTATAGACAAATTTAAAATACATAGTAATCAAAGTGAGAAGAATGTGATAGAACACATTGATAGAGGAAGTACATTAAATAAGAACTTAATAATAACAACATATGCATTAAGAAATCAATAAAACATATCAAAATGCAGAAAAACTGTCTGTTTATACAGTCAAGTGCTCAATTAAACCACTCGACTACGACACCTCCTTCCTTTCTTCCTTGCTCCCAGGCATTTTGCAACAGGCAAGCCTCTTCAGGGTCTCATCTCCAGCGTCTACCCCAAGGTTGAAAAGAAGTTGGCCATGACGGAGGGACAACCAATAGACCCCAAGTTTCTCCTCAATCTAATCATGTACAATGTTCTCGCACAGATGTGCTTTGGACGAAGGTGAGTTCTACCCAACGGTTTTGATACTCGTGGGTAGGTTTTTTATTTAGTAGTTTTTTAGTCGAAAGGCAAATCTTAACATCAGCTTGTTATGAAGCATACAAATTAGCAGTACAGATGGAGTTGAATTGGAAAGAAACTTTATATAGGCAGTAAGAAAATTGAGTTATTTAAATTTAAATTTAATAATATTTATGCGACTGTGATGCAGGGCAACTCTCTATTCTTTGTTATGCCTCCGCAACGAAGTAGCAGGATCAGCCATTATGTTTTCGGGTTGTCCGTCCGTCCCGTTCTCGTGATCGCGTTATCTCAAGAACCGATTGATGGATTCCCGCCCAACTTGGGTCATCTCGAGTGTGGAGAGGAGATCACGAAGACGTGGCGTGTGACTCAACTGAAGATGGATGCAGGAGTGAAGAAAACCTCGTGTTAAAAATATGAGGGTGCCTTGTAATCTCCAAAGATTTCTGACTTTTTTGTTTTTACTTCTTTCCTCACCATCCTTTCTTTCTCTCTTATTCATCCTATTTTTCTAAATTCTTTCACTATGTGTATCTTTACCGCTACCTTTGTTCTTATATTTGTTATATCTACTCATATTCATGTATTGTGTGTGTGTGTGTGTGGGTGTGTGTGTGTGTGTGTGTGAATGTCCGCGTGTGCTTTGTTATGTATGTGTGTGTGCTGTGTGTGTGCATGTTTGATAGGTCCATCTTGAGTAGTCTTTTTCAAGACTTGTATGTGTATAGAGTTTGTTGTGCCATTGGTTTTCTAAATAGTTAATAATGGATACCATTGTTGAAGAAGATGTGAACATAATGCTAAGAGATTTTGCATGTTGATTGCGGTGCATTTCAACAGAATGTACTTGGAAATTTTTGTCTTGCTTAAAGCATGATTTTTCTGTAATAGGTGTCTCTGAAACTTCGTACATGTAGAGCAGAAAAGAATGGCGGTGGGCAGGAGCGTAAATCCCGGGGGGTGGGGGGATGCATCCCCCTGGCTTAAAGGAGGGGGGGGTGGCCTGTACAAACATCCCCCCTAATATTACACCCAAAAAAAGAGAGAACAAAAAGGAAGAAGAAGAAGAAGAAAAAAATGTGATTGTTTCAATTTCAGCATGATGCATGAGAAATTAGTTATTTTTTGTATGTATGTATAACTGTATAGCCAACACGTAAACAGTATCTCACGATCATTAAGAATAGTTGCGCGACGTGCGCGAACAAACACTTCATAAACTTCAGAATAATTTTTCGTTATTTTGCAAGGTATTATTATAGCCCAGACGTAAAGTGCGCCAGCACGCGAGCGCTTAAAAAGTGCAATCACGTACAGTAGATGCCCGGCTCCCCCCCCCCCCCACTCAGTGTTATTTAGGGTACGCGTATGCTCGTTCACTCCCTTTGAAAGCATCCCCCCCCCCCTATCTCTGGACTGCCAACTTTTTTTATTCCTCCTTTCGCCGGCTTTTCGCTGGCTTTTCTTGCCTTGGAGACCCCCCCCCCCCCCCCCCCCCCAAAAAAAAAAAAAAAAAAAAAAAAAAAAAAATCATCCGGAACACTGCTAAATGTACCACCCCCACCCCCTCCTAATTTCAGGTGAGCTCTAGTCGATCGAGGGGGACTGGGGGCCAATGTTTTTACTTTTCAAAATGAAATAATCCTGAATGAGCTTTCAAAGCTAGCAGAAATTTCAGGAATTTGATCCCGGGATTTGATCAATTTTTCTATGATATTCAAGATATTATATAACCCCCTTTTTACATTTCTCAGGAGTCCAAAGAGAGAGAGAGAAAAAAACTCACCCCCTTTTCAAAGAAACCTCCGGATGAAAAGTCAAATACACCCCCTTTTTTTTACAATTCTCGGGCCGGATTTTGTCGCGCGAAGTACCCCTTTCCTGGAGATTTTAGGAACGCGCATGCGGTCCCTCCGAGGGTAGGGGGGGGGGGGGGCTAGATGAAGACTGAAGTTCCAGACCTAGCGTGTTCAAGACTTATAGTGGCCGTCTGTCTCTTCAGTTATTTGAAGGTAAGCCTGTACACATTCTTATTGTTTATATATTTGAGAAAGGATTTGGCTGAGGAAATTAAAGAATTCATTAGATTTAATTAATAAACACAGTACATGTTTCATTATATGAATTCCAGAAACATTTTTTTAGGAGGTATGAAAACTGTGAACGCATCTGATTGAGAGTGATAAATAATACGGTAACTGTTGCACTTCCCAAGTCCTACTCGGCGGTTGTCATTTGTTCACACCTAAAACTTAAAGGGAAAGTCCACCCCCAGAATAAGTTTGTTTCGATAGAGGCAGAATAATAAGAAAATCAGGTGAGTGAAAGTTTGAGCAAATTCTGAATGAAAATAAGAAAGTTATGAATTATTGAAGTTGTGATCAATCAAATACAATCAAATAAAAGGACACTTTTTTTTTTTTTTTTGGTATCGAAATTTGAAAATTTGACATTTTGCTCCGTTGGGGGGGGGGGGGGGGGTAAGGTCATCTTTTTGAGGTCAGCCATGGGAATATTTTTTTTTTTTTTTTTTTTTGTTAAAAAAAAAAAAAAAATCCAAAAGGGGGGGGGTTTAGGGAAATTTAGAACCCCCCCCCCTGTGTACGCGCCTGCATGTGATGTTTGTGTAGGTCTATGAATTAATTAATTTGTTGTTTATATTGAATGAATTGAATCGAATTCAGATAAATAGGGCTTAATAAGAGTCGAAAACGGTGCAACGAATCGTCTTCTGTCTATAATAATTAAATCAAACGTCTAAGCTATTCGCGCTTCGCGCGGGAAGGGGGAAACTGAATTCAGATAAATAGGGCTTAATGACAGTCAAAAACGGTGCAACGAATCGTCTTCTTTCTATTATATTTAAATCAAACGTCTAAGCTTTTTGCGCTTCGCGCGGGAAGGGGTAACTGAATTCAGATGAGAATTAAGTGTCGAGAATAGTACACCAATCGTCTGCTTTCACTAATAATTTAAGGAAACGTCAAGGCTTCCGCGCTTCGCGCGAGAGGGGGAAACTGAAGTCAGACAAATAGGGTTTATTAAGAGTCGAAAACGGTGCAACGAATCGTTTTCTTTCTATAATAATTAAATCAAACGTCTAAGTTTTCGCGCTTCGCGCGGGAAGGGGGAAACTGAATTCAGACGAGAATTAAGAGTCGAGAACAAGTACAGTACACCCAATCGTCTGCTTTCTCTGATAATTTAAGGAACGTCAAGGCTTCCGCGCTTCGCGCGAGAGGGGGAAAACTGAATTCAGATAAATAGGGCTTAAGAGTCGAAAACGGTACAACGAATCGTCTGCTTTCTCTAATAATTTAATGAAACGTCAAAACTTACGCGCTTTGCGCGGGAGGGGTAAACCGAATTCAGACAAAGATTAGGAGTCGAGCACAGTTTAACAAATCGTCTCTTTCTCTAATAATTTAATGAAATGCAAAAGCTTCCGCGCTTCGCGCGGGAGAGTGTGTGTGTGTGTTGTGTGTTTGTGCGTGCGCGATCGCGCGCGCTTGCGTAAATAAGTGTGGGCGTGTGCTCGTGCTAGTATGTGATGGCTATCGCCGATCATCCCCCCCCCCACTACTCGGTACGGATTTACGCCCCTGGCGGTGGGGTATGTTTGTACATCAAAGATGATTTGGAATTTAAATTACGTGTAGATTTATCTGGGTCAAATTCAGGGTATGAAATTGTTTTTGTTGAAATAACAAGCTCCAGTAAAAAGATTATTGTTGGATGTGTATATAGGGCTCCTAACGTTGATAGTACATCCTTTGTTGAAAATTTATAACATCAGCTACAGATATTGAGTAAAGAAAACAAGGAGATTTATCTAATGGGGGACTTCAACATCAATTTATTGAATTATAATAATGATCATAGTGTTAAGGATTTTGTTGATTTTATGTATTCATTTGGATTATTTTCTCTTGTCACTAAACCTACCCGTATAACCGAAATTAGTACAACATTGATTGACACTATTTTCACAAACTGCATTCAAAATGAGTTTAGCTCGGGTGTAATATGTTCAGATATTTCAGATCATATGCCTATATTTTGTATAAAAAAGGACTCTGTAGTAACTTCTGTTAAGAGAGATGGACAGGTTTTGAAGCGGAAAATAAATGATAAAATAATCTCAAGGTTCAAGCAACACTTGGCTGAAATTGATTGGAAGGCTCTGCCTTCACTGGAAGGCGTCAATGATCTATATGAACATTTTCTACAAATGTTTCTAAAATTATATAATTTATGTTTCCCATTAGTTGAGGTAACATTAAAGAGTAAATGTAAAAAGCCTTGGGTAACTCATGTTTTGTTGAACTCAATAAACCGCAAACATAAGCTTTATGTTAGTTATGTCAAGAGACCAACAGCTGAGAATAAAAAGAAATATGTTGATTATAAGAATGTCTTGATTAATACTCTTCGTATAGCCAAGCAAAATTATTACGATGATTTGTTCCACATTGTTAAAGGCGATATAAGAAAAACTTGGTCTCATATCAATGAATTGTTAGGTCGGTCAAATAGGCATTCACTTCCTCAAAAGATGGATTTTAATGGAGTACTCCTATCATCTGCCAAGGATAAGGCTGAAAGTTTTAATAAATATTTCATTGGACTACCCATGAAAATCAGTAAAGATATTCCTCAAGTACCACAATCTTTTTGTGATTATATGAACAGTGTGAAGATAATGCATCTATGTTTCTAAAACCAACTTCAAACTCTGAGATCATCGATATTGTGTCGTCTTTGAAACCATCTAAATCGAGTGGCTCTGATGATATTTCACCTAGAATTATAAAGGAGTGCATTCACCTTTTTATTGATCCCTTATGTAAAATCATTAATATGTCTTTATCACAGGGATTTGTTCCAGATAAACTCAAGGTAGCTAAAGTGGTACCAGTATATAAAAAATCTGACCGTAATAATGTCATTAATTATATGCCAATAGCACTGTTACCAATCTTTTCTAAAATTCTTGAGAAAATAATTTATAAACGCTTTATGAGTTTCTATCTAAAAAGAATATCTTGATTCCTTAGCAGTGCGGTTTTCGTAAGCACTTCTCCACACAAATGGGTGTGTTTAATTTATTAAGTAATTTCATCAAAGCTATTGATGGAGACAAGTATTGTCTGGGGATATTCTTAGATCTATCTAAGGCGTTTAATACCATTGACCATGGTATCCTCCTCAGGAAACTGGAGCATTATGGAATACGTAGTGTAGCATTGTCTTGGTTCCAAAGCTATTTGTTTGACAGGACTCAACTTGTTGTGGTGGATGGTACTAGTTCCCAACTTGCTTCTATTAAATATGGTGTACCTAAGGGTTCTGTTCTTGGTCCCCTGTTGTTTTTAATCTATATAAATGATATAATACACTCGTCAACATTATTCTCATACTCCCTGTTTTCTGATGATACCAGCTTGCTGCTGGTTGATAGGAAGGCTGAAGATTTATTACTAATTGCAAATCAAGAGATTCAGAAACTGTATGCATGGTATTGTTGAATTTTCAAAAGACCAAATGTTTTATTTTTCGCTCAAAGGGTAAAAAGCTTCCAGATGGTATTACTTCTCTTAATGTTGGAGGCCATGATGTTGCGCTTAGCGAAAATGTTCAGTTCTTAGGGTTAACTATAATAACAATAATATTCAGCTTTTATATAGCGCAACTCACAATAAGTCTCTAAGCGCTTCCAAACTTGGATATTATTACCCCAGCTTTAGCTGTGCTGCCATTATAGCGCTCTAGCATTTCAAGGAATAAATTCCTACCAGGTACCCATTTACTTTACCTGGGTGGCGTGTGGCAAATGTAGATCAATATCTTGCCAAAGGACATTAGTGCGGCGGCGGGACTCGAATCGCGGACCTTGTGATCAACAGTCCGGCGACGTATCCACTCGACCACAACACCTCTACAATGGATGAGCATTTATCTTGGAAGAATTATTTAGATGTTGTATGCACTAAGTTGTCCCGAAGTGTAGGTGTAATTTTTAGATTGAAATTGATTTTACCTGAAAGAGTGCTGATAACGTTATATAATAGTATAATTCTTCCTTATTTGACATATTGTAATGTTGCTTGGGGAAACACTTTTAAGTCATATCTTGATAAGTTGAAAGTATGGCAGAAGAAGGCAATAAGGCTTATTACTAATTCATATTATAGACATCCAAGTTCTCCATTGTTCCTTCGACTAAGAATGTTACCACTGAGTGGACTTGTGTCGTTCAATTGCATATTGTTTATGTTTAATCTTAAGTCTATGCCTCATGAATGTACGTTAAAAGATTTTTTTCCGTCAGAACTCGCAAATTCATAATTATAATACACGTTAGAGGGGGTTTTATTCATCAGCCTTTTGCAAGAACAAATATCACTCTGACCTCTTTCCATATCTTTTGCATCAAAGAATGGAACAGTTTGCCTAATGATATAAAAAAAAAATAGTACAACTCTTTCTAGGTTTAGAAGGTTATCTAAAACGTACCAACTTGGAAGACTGACATAATTCTACTTTGTATCTTAATAATTTCACATTCTCAAATGCCTATAGACCACTAAGGACTCTGTGTGTGTGTGTGTGTGTGTGTGTGTGTGTGCGTGCGTGTGTGTGTGCGTGTGCGCACGCGTGTGAATATTTGTTTGTGTTCTATATTCTGTAGCTTAGTTTGTTTCCATCCCTTGTATAAACATTACATTCTTTTTATTCACCTTGCCATATCGTTAATGTTTGTATTTTGTTGACTATAGGGCCCCGCTCACAAGCTTAGCTTCTACAGGGGTCCTAAAAACCATTCACTTAATGATGTAATCAAGTTATTATATGTTGACTAATGTACTATTACCAGTCTCTTTTTTATGTAAAAGATTATATCATGTTTTGTGTGGTTTTGAATAAATGAACTTGAACTTGAACTTGAATTTGGAACCAAGATGCGCGATTGGATGGATGAACGCACGTGGTCTGAATAAATAAATATAAATGAGTAGCGTATAATGGAAATAATACTGGAAACATGAATGTACAATAAAAGTGCGAATGTATGAGACGCTACAGACGCACTGGATACGCTGAGCGAGACGCGCAATGCTCTTAGAGGATAAATTTTCATTTGAATAATTAACTACTTTGACCGTCATATATTTTTCTTCTTCAAAGTCTCTCGGGGTTGCAGTACAGGTGCGGATCCACGGGGGGATGGAGTGGGGCCCGGCGGGCCCGGGCCCCACCCCCCGGCAAAAAAGTGCCCCCCCCCCCCCCGCTTATTCATCGGCTGGCTGAGTCGCCGCAAAATATTTTCTCACGGATTGGGCCCCCTCTTGCCGCCGGCTGGATCCGCCCCTGTTGCAGTATATAAAACAGATATCGGCTGCTTATTTTGGGGGGATGATATAGCAACTATAGCTCCTCCGTAATCTTGGGACTGCACTATGTCCTGAGACGAAGTCGAGTGGCACAGCTCATTTTCAAGATTACCCTTACCCAAATCCTAAACCCAATGCGAACCCTAATCCTGTGCAAGTATCTTTCAAGAAATAACGCCTGGTGAAAATGCGTCCACTGCAAGTGTCCGGAAATTGATTTCTTTATATAATTATTGGATTGTAGTTATGAGTTGGAAGACCCTAAAGTTGTGCAGTGGATGGACTTAAACGACGAACTCAGTGAAACATCTGGATTAGGTCTAGCAGCAGACTACTTCTCTTGGGCCAAGTACCTTCCCACCAGCGGTGCACGGATGATAAAGAAAAACTTAGAAAAGCAGTTTGGCTTCCTGCGTTCGCAGGTGGAGGAAACAAGAGAACATTATGATCCGGGTGAGAGAATTAGTGGAATCATATATCACAGTATAATTCAGTGGTGGGTAGGGGTTGGCCAGGCGCGGATCCACGGGGGGTGGTCCGACGAAAATGCCCTCCCCCCCCCGGCCAAAAAACGTTTCTTGTTGTTCTGCTCGAGGGGGGGGGGGGGGGGAGGGGTGTTGTGAAAAAAAGGAGTGTTCACTCCTCCCCCCCCCCCCCCGTTGAGGCAAAAAAAAAACTGTGCTCCTTATCCCCCCCCCCCCCTCAATGAGCGAAATATTGGTCAGCGCGATTTTAACATTTCCGGGGGGGGGGGGCAAAAGAGAAGAAAAATTAGCTCACTACCCCCTCCCCCTCCCTAATGCCACAATGCCTAATCGGTGACCATTGGTCCCCCATGATCCTCTTTATCTTATGTTAACTGAGAGCTGACTTGATGAGAAACCACCTGTCCAGTGACCTTGCAGGGTGGTCTAATCCCTCCTGTAAACTAGTACAGATGGGCTTTAAAATAAGTTTAAGAATGCTCAGAACCTGACTGGAATGAACGGCATTTTGGCATACAAAAATAAAAATGGCAAGTTTAATAAATACAGAATTGCAAACTGAAAAGACCAAACTGTCAACGGGACGCATGTTGATCCTTGCAAATGCATAAAATGGTATGCTTGGCCTTTAAGATTGCTCCCTCAAAAAAAAGGGGAAAAAAAGAAAAAAAAATTGAATTAAACAAAATAAAAAATAATATTAATAATACGAGCGGCCCGAAATATAATGAGCGGGCGGTCGAGGACAACCAAACGATACGGCGGTCGTACGCCCCCGAAATTGATAGATACTTGCGGCGGCCGCAGAGAATCTGCGGTGGTCTCAGGGTCACCCTAGGGTGTATTCCTATCTTTACAAGCCGTATGATTCGCCGTGTGATTATAACGCGGAGTTATAACTGTTTTAATGTCTAGCTTCGCTGTAGCGATTAGACACGCCGTAGCCATGTCGTAGAGCGATTCCACGGCGACCGTACGTCGGACGTATGGTGACCTTGCGTTTCATATACTCAGGGTTGAAGCGGTGGCATCAATATGGTCCCCCTTCAGCCGCCTTACGGGCACCTTGCGGTTGCCTTGTGTCTGTCTAAGTAATTGTCAAAAAGCTACGGCCGCCGCCGGGACGCCCTAAGGCGACCGTGCGTTATCACTTTAAAGGCCGTAATGCATCCGCAGATTTTCTGTCTCCACAAATTCAAAATACGCCGTGCGGCTACCCTAAAACATGTGACCGCAACCGTATCCCGTGGCGGATCCAGGGGCCCGGGTCCCCCGCCCCCTCCCCCCCCCCCCCCCCCCCCCTGGGAAAAAAAGTGTAAAAACACGTTAATTTTATCCTTTTTTTTAGATGCCCCCCTCCCCCTGGTGCTCAAGGGGGGGGGGGGGAGCGTTTTTTCAAATTTTCGAGGGCCCCCAAAAACATTAGTACGCAATCCCCCCCCCCCCCCCCCCACTCAGCGAAATATTGGCCGGCACGATTTTCAAATTTCAGCACACTAAATTTCAAATTGATTTCAAATCCCCCCCCCCCCCCCTAAGAAATCCTCGATCCGCGCCTGACCGTATCTGACTGTGGGAATACTGCGGCAGTTATAGAATTGCTAGTGGCCGTATATATTTTAGACCGCACGGCCGCCGCGGAAAATGTGACCTAGGCAGACTAAGTAAAACTAGTGCCCTGTTATGACAGTCACAATAACTGTTGTACGTAAGCTACTGAAATGTTTGTGTTTGATTGGCTGCGAGCAAATCTGTCATAGAAATTTAGCATTTGTTACTGACAAGAAGTTTTATGAAACAGGGCCCAGTTTAAACTTAGTCCACCTTTATAAACATAACTGAGTCATTACAGCTAAATGTGTTGCATTTTCTATTCCTCTTCATAGAGAACATCAATAATTTCTACAGTCTACTTCTCAAAGCTCAAGAAGATGCAAGGAAAGAAGGAGAGAATGTGGACAAACTGACCGATACTCACGTCTTCCAGACGATCGCTGATATGTTTGGAGGTACATGTATGATTAATGTATTAGCCTGTGAACTAAACTCCAGTCGGTAGTGCCCCTGTATTAATTATAAAGGGCATAGGAGGAGGCTAATCGAACCCCCCCCCTCCCATCGACAGGCGTGAATGTATTTGAAAATAGATTAGAAATAAGAAATTAGTTCAACAATCACTAGCGTTGGGTTTGAATACATCACAATACACTAGCCACATTGCCAATTTGAGATTCGCATATAATTATGTAGTGATGTCATATTTCGAACATTTTCTTTTGTTTGTTTTTCTGCTTGCACACAAACTAATGAAGTTATTAAAAAGGTTGAATTGCCCTTTAATCTCTCTAAAAAAATTGATTTATACTGGTCCTGTGTACTGGAACTCCTCGGACATTTCGCTCAAACAGCTGCCAAGTTTAATTACTTTTAAATATCACTTGAAACATAAACTTCTACTCCAGTGTGAAAATGCTTAAGGTCATCGTGATAGAGACCATCGCACAGTGGGCCAGAATCGCCTCAAAGTGTGCCAAAATTCAAAATCGGCGAATGTGAATTTTTATATTTTTTTCATTCGCTTGGGGACGAAAACATTCTAAAGAATATTTTTCCACCCATATTTAAATATTATTTTAGCAAATTTTAAAAGTGTCATATACCCCTGCGAACATGAGAACATCTATGTTGCTCCAAAAATGATAAAAGAGGCAACTTTACAATAGGTGTTGAGAATGTATGAAGGGAAAAGCAATCAACTTGATACTGCGTGCACTTCTTGCATATTGGTAACCCAATTAGAAAATACAATGACCAAATTTATTGAAGCTTCATTTTGGGAAAAATGAGCATTAAATTTCACAAAAAAAGGAAAAAATTGCAATTTTTATATAAAAGTAGCATGTTTATTAGGATTCCGGCCGATTCCCGCAATGATGGTAATCTCAAAATGTCCGCCCAAACCTAAGCTTTCCATGTATGGTATTTCTTTTTGCTAGAATTTGCTACACTGCATGTGCAGGCACTTTTCCTCCCCACGTCCATCGATTATTATTAGGCATAATCGGTACACATTTGTACTGTTTTCGTTTACGTACAGCCGATTCAACGCTCGTCCGCGTAACCATGGCAACGCACGGTGGGCCAGGGAGGAACCAAATAAAGTGCGCCAAAACTCATTGTTTTCAATTCTCTTCTTGACCAGTTGAACTGTAATACATTGAGGAATACCTCAGTGAAAGATTTGATTCCGGTAAGCACAAGAAGGGTACAAATTTACTCCTTCAAACAGCAAAATCCTACATATTCACAGTTTTAGTGCAAAAGTGACTTATTTTATAAATCTTTCAATTTAACATGAAGTTCTTAAGTTATTGATATGACATTGCTCTCACATATTCCTGATAGTTCATTTCGTTGCATGAATTGGTTAATATGTATAGAAACACAATCTTCATTATATATTAAAGGTTAATTCACTGAAAAATGGACTAATTATCCATGTTTTTTATAAATCCAGAGAAAACGTTTAGATTTCCGCAGAGTTCCGCTTATATTTTAATACCACCATTTTGTCTGATGTCTAAGCTTTAAGTTGATACCAAATTTGGCTGCTCGATCTTGCCCGTTGTCATGTTAGAGCCGATTCCCCTTGCCACATTGTCCCGAAAAATATGTTTGTTTTTAGTATGCGGCTGAATCATGAAGGATTCGCGGTCATAAATCACGTCGCTTGGGGGCGCGTGACACTTGTTCTGACACCGCGGACCAAAATAAACACATTTTTCGGGGCAATGTTGCAAGGAAAACGGCTCTAACATAATAACGGGCACAATCGGGCAGCCAAATCTGGTATCAACTTAAAGCTTAGATATCAGAGAAAATGTTGGTAATACCATTTAAGCGGAAATCCCTGGACATACAAACATTTCCTATGGATTTTTAGAAAATAAATCCCCAGAAATTAGTTTTGGCACGATTTGGTTCCTCCCTGGCCCACTGTGCATCGGTATTATCAACACTTGTTGACTGGCTACACCACACACCCGTTTTTGTTCTTTTGATTTGTTTTTTGTTTTATATAGTATGTAACAAATGTATTATGTAAAGGGAACCTTAATTTCAAGCATAATGCTCCCAAGGTTTCCTCCTCATTATTGCAGATTATTGTAAGCATCATTTGTATTTAATGTCTTGCCATTAAATCGTTTTTATTACTGTTGTATCAATCGATTATTATGTACATGTTTTGTTACCTTGTATATGCCTTACTTTGTAAATTCTTTTCATATGCAGTTAATGTGGAAATAAAACCTAAATTTAAAAAAAAATGTTCCGGATCCTGGATGTACACTATACCTCTTAATTTGACGTTCCTTTTTAGAAATGTCTTTGTTGATTAAAAAAATACTTATTGATATTGAATCTAAATCAACCCCTCCAAAAAGAATTAAATTCTGAGAGGACAAAACTGAACACAAAATTCTTATTTTTAATCATTTTTTGTTAACTGATGTCGAAAAATCTCAAAATTGCAGAAATTAGAAGTTCCTAAATGTCAGAACTAATGCCAAAATTTTTGTATTTTATAGCTGGTATTCAGACAACCGTTGAGACCCTGTACTGGGCCATGGCTCTCCTTGCGACCTACCCAGAAATCCAGGCAAAGATCCGCGCCGAGATCGATGATGTCATCGGCCGTGATCGTCTTCCTACCATCAACGACCGCGGGAAGCTCGTATACACGGAGGCAAGCCTCTATGAGGTGTTGCGTTACAGCAGTATTGTTCCGACCAATCTTCATGCTACTACCAGGGATACAGAATTTGGTAAGTTTGAGAAAGGTTCCTCATCAATTAAAAGCCATCTTAATTGGTGGATGGAGGGGTGTATAGGGCACAACTTTTGAAATATGCCAGCTACTGCTATGTCTGGCAAGTTCGAGCATTGCCTGGAAAGAAAGGTCGTGAGGCAGAACCCTTATGGAACAATCATGGTGTTGCCACACTATGTTCACATATAGTCAACTATGTGTGGACATTACGTGTTCACATTGTTGTCACAGTGTGGAGTTTCAGTCCATGTGGTTTACCACATAATATCCACATAAACTGACATACTTGACACAGAGTACCACATATTTACCACAGTGGTATATGTATTGCACTATGTGTTAACTCTGTGGTCACAGTATTGTCACAGTGTGGGGTTCAAATCATGTGGTTTACTACGTAGTCGTACATTTTTAACACAGAGTGACATTTATGTACCACAGTGAGGTATGTACTGAACTATGTGTAAATTGTGTGTTCACAGTATTGTCACTGTGTGTTGTTCAAATCATGTGGTTTACCACATAGTCCACATAGTCGTACATATTTAACACAGAGTGATACTTTTGTACCACAGTGTGGTATGTACTGAACTATGCGCAAATTCTGTGTTCACAGTATTGTCACAGTGTGGGGTTCAAATCATGTTGTTTGCCACATAGTCATACATATTTAACACATATTGACGAATATATACCACAGTGTGGTATGTACTGAATTATGTGTAAACTCTGTGATCACAGTATTTTCACAGTGTGGGGCTCAAATCATGTTGTTTGCCACATAGGTATACATATTTAACGCAGGTTGACACACATTTACAATAGTGTGGTATGTACTGAACTATGTGTAAATTCTGTGCTCACAGTATAGTCACAGTGTTGGTTTCAAATCATGTGGTTTACCTTATAGTTGTACATATTTAACACAGAGTGACACACATTTACAACAGTGTGGTATGTACCGAACTATGTGTAAACTCTGTGTTCACAGTATAGTCACAGTGTTGGTTTCAAATCATGTGGTTTACAATATTTAACACAGTGTGGTATGAATCGCTATGTGTAAACTCTGTGTTCACAGTATATTGTCAGTGTGAGATTTTGAGATCATGTGGTTTATCACAAAGTAATATCCACATAGTCTGTGGGCTTATTTCCGGTTGAAACAGTTAATTCCTGACTTTTGGCATATCTCCTACTATGTGGTGCAATTGATACCACAGCGTTACCACACTGTGGTACGCACCACATAGTACACCACAGCGTTACCACATGTCCCAAAATCACATGTGGCCCACACTACGTTTGACTATGTGGTACACAGTGTCGTTAACTATGTGGTAAGTTGGTAACACTGTGATTGTTCCATAAAGGTAATGTGTGAAAAGCTATAATGCGCTACATGTATAAAGTAGTTGCAAGTGCTCGTAGGGATGGTTAAAACTTGAATGCATTATCTTGTGGATTCTTATTCTTTCTTGAGCTGTCCGTAATGTCAAATGAGGGATAAGATAATTTTTGAGGATTTTCACGCGGCGAGGGGCAGCAGGTTGCAGAAAAATCGGGAAAATGTTTTCCCCAAAATATACCGTGATACATATATGTATCGAGATCAAACTGCTGATGGTTTGTTGATGTATAGAACCAAACTCATCCACAGAGTTATGGAAATATATTTTTTCAAATTTCAATATTACACGTGTGATGTATAGGTTATATGAATATGAATGCATCATCTTTTGCCAAATGATATTTGTTTCAACTGCACTCAATGTTGCCTCTTATCCTATCCACCTGTCTATAAAGGTCATGGTTTTGTGTTACAGTGTTAGAGATTGCTTGTGTATTAAATATACAAATTGTTGCTTACATTGATTGTTTCTGGCTCCCGTTGACTTTGCAGGTGGCTATCATATCCCCAAAGGGACAGTGGTGTTGATCAACACACACTCCATGCACTATGACCCTCAAGAATGGGACCAGCCGGACAAGTTCCTTCCAGGTAAAAAAATGGATTATACAACGTACCTCTGCCAGTGATATCTTAGACTTGATGAGTGCATGGGGGATAAGGATGTATGGATGTATGATGTGGAATGTGTCTCTGACTTTCCCAAAGGAACGACAGTGATGATCAATACATAATGACCCTCAAGAATGTCTCTCCCAGGATAGCTTAAACTCTATGAGCTTGGTTTGGGAGGATTGGGGTAGGAAATAAACAGTTTTTCAGGTAGTTATTTCATCCTCTAAATAACCACATTGATGACCAATGACTACTCCGTACATATTCTCCCTCAAGAACAGGACCAACTGGCCAAATTGCTCCTAGATAAAAGGTGGTAAATGTAGATTGATATCTTGCAGGGGCTCAAACATATTCAAATGATCGTTCTTTTTGCAGTTGGCACTCACTGTTTTCATGTCTAAAAACATGTCCTACTGATTAACGATCAACTCACTGTTGATACTCCAAGCCTACTACAATATGATATTTTAAAACAATGGGACAGGACAATATTTTTATTGGAGATTATGCGCCACTTGTGCTTTCTTTATTTAGTGCACTCAACTAATTAATCATTTCTTTGTTTTCTGCAGAGCACTTCATGGATGGTAGTGGCACTGTCCGTGAGCATCCTCCAAGCTTCCTGCCCTTTGGAGCGGGTCGTCGTGGATGTCTAGGTGAAGCCGTGGCCAAGGCTGATCTCTTCCTTATCTTTTCCTGGTTCCTGCAGAACTACACCTTCAGCAAGGTCCCAGGAAAGGAGTCTGAAGACATCTTAAACATGATTCCTCAGACAGCATTTGGTAGACTCCTTATCTCCTATGAGATCATGATCAACAAACGAGACTAGTAGGGTCCTGAGCCAGTATTCAATTCAATACTAAATCAGAAAGGTTAATATTTTACTCAGCTATCGGCTTAGGTAAAATACTAGTCAACTTTGGTATTCAGTTGAAGCTTTGGGCTAATTATGTTACCCCAAGCTTAAAACTACTCCCTCGCAGGGTAAAGCTAATTATTTGTAGGCTTTGATTGGCAGGCCATAATGGAAGAGCAAATTATATGAGCACACACTGATTTGTAACACGTTTGTTGCACATGATTTTGTATTGGCTACGTGATGACACATTTGTCACCAGTACATTTAAGTATTTTTGATATAATTTAAAATACCGGCCTGGGCCTCTATCCGCATGCCTGTTTAAGCTGCCTCAGATGGTTTTGTGAGTCCTCTTTTATCAAATATTAAGTTAGATTGATTCAGGAAAGTGAATTCTTAATTATTTTTAAAAGCTAAAACACATCTTTGGTCAATGTAATGGATGTGGTTAAAAGGACTTTCTGTCCATTGCATTTAGATGGTCTTGACACCAAATCAATGACTAATTGATTATTTACGACCAGTAACAGTTATTAATGTTTCTTTATATAGTAATCCTTGATTGAAAAATCCCAACTGTCTATATTTTGAAATTACTGTTAATCAGTAGAAACAAGTCTTTTTCAGTGGATTGGCAGCTCTGGATGGTTTTACTAGTAAATATTGAATGCAAAGGTGCAGTGATACAAGACTCTACATAAATGAATAAATACTAACAAGAAATGCCTCACATGTGATTCCTTTAAAAAATGGATGGATGATAAAGTCGATTGTGGCAGGGTTGTGTACCTTCCTACATCTTGTGTCTAAAGTGTTGAAAGTTATGAAGAAATAATTTGTTGTTTGTTTACCCCTTGACTTTTACCAACATTCTGAATCCCCTGTTTATCTAAATATTTGGTGTTGTTACATTAAAAAAAAATGATTATTGCAGTAATTTATAGACCTCCTTCTCAGAGCTGTGTTGACTTTATAACAGATGTTAACAATATTCTAGAGATAACAGTCTCAAACAATCTGCATCATTACGACAATTTAAGTATAAATATAAACAATATCTTTGCAATTCTAAATAGTCATACAAATTTAAAAACAATTATTATTATGTTTCAAATCGCAATTATGTTATCATCGGGTCAATTTAATCTAATTATAAAACCAGACGTTTGAAGGGAGAGTCAACCCTGAGGATGGGTTTACTCCGCCTTTACTAGGCCATACACATTCTCAGGGTGGACTTCCCCTTTATTGCTACCGGGGCTAGACTCGATAAGCTTCGCTTTTTCTAGCCCCATCTACTTTACTTACCTTTTTATGTTTATGTTGATGTTTGTTAACTGATGTAGATTTTCATTGTTATTTTATGCTTATGTATCTGTTTTTCATTTGCTCTATGTGTCAAATGTGTACAATGTAATCTGTTACCTTGTATATATTTTCTGGTTTTTAATGTGGAAAATAAATGAAATGAAATGAAATGAATATAATTGAAGATTTATATGCATGTTATACAGGTGTAGGCCTATCATATAAGGTGGAGAGGATATGTATTTTCCGTTGCTTGTCTTCAAGTCATTTGAAGGGGAACCATGTACACATAAATGGGTAGGGAAGGCCAATTATTTACTTTACCTTTACCGCGAATACTGGAAGAAAGCTGAGACAGTAGTCAAGCTTCCAGGTCTATCTTCTTGGCCTATCTTCTTGACAGTACTAATTTTCAATATTGACTTTATATGCATTTGTGAGTCTGTAACTTGTGAATTAGATTAGAACTGTGGTCTGAATTGTGCTGATGTTGCTTCATTTGCATTAATTTCCCCTTTTTAGCGTTATTTTTTTCTAATTGTCAAAATTTGTTTTTCGAGTTTCTACAGAATTTAGAATGATGTACATATAATTGCATAATTCTTTATAATTGCTGCGACGTACAATATTAGATCATGTTTGTATTATGTAAAGATCAACAATATTTTACAGTAAATAATAATGATATATTTTGTAATATCAATTTCTAAAGAAATAATCAGACGGTGTTCATGGAATGTAGTAAAAATAAAAACAATAATTTTCATTGAAGCCCATTGCATATTCTCAGAAGTGATGTTTTGTGTATGGCCACGAAGCTATAAAACGACATTATAAAAAGGAGAATTAGCCATTCGTAGACAGTTGGTATCTAGAAACAGATGTGAACAAATCAGAGAGAAAAACAAATATAATTTTGAGAAGCTACAGAAATATCGGACAAGGAATCAAAAATCTAAGATCATTATCAATAAAGTGAGAAATCTCCCATTGACGATTCAGTCATATTACCCTTAATCCCTTCCCCCTTTCTGTCTGTCTGTCCAAGGAGATTGGTCTGTCTTATTCTCTCTTTGCTTGAAACTTCCTAAAACCCTGACCGTCATTGCTTTAATAAAAAAAAGCATGATGTATCGCGCACGCTGCGGTCTGACTGCCAACTGATCCCCAACTGATCTGTATTTTACGTACAGATCAGTGGGATAAACCTTAGAACGTTGTCGAAAGGCCATTTCAAACAAAAATTATGTTTTGCGTCCCCGCCCGCTTCTTTTTTGAGGGCCGCCTGCTTTTTTTAATTTTTAATTTATTTTTTGTTGTTATTTTTTTTAAATAATGAAAAAAGATGAAAAACATACTGCTAAAATGATCTTTTTCTCAAAAAAAAAAAAAAAAAAAAAAAAAAAATAGCCCGACTGTCAAGGAAAATGAACCAAGGGCCATTTAAAAAAAAAAGGAAAAAAAGGGCCTCCTCCTTATTTTGGCCTAATACCTCGTTTTGTGCGTTCTCACTTTCCTAAAAGTTATGGACAAGGCCATTGCGATCTCCTTACTTTGATTTTTCGAAAGTAACATGAACAGCACAACACTTTTTTTCCCTGTTAATTTTCCGTTTCCAGCGTTTCGTAAAGTTTGCTCTCAATATTATATGATTCATAACTTTTGTCAGATGTCAAAATTATGTACCATAATCTGGTAAATTAAAGATGGGAATATTCAAAAAGGATTATTTTACAAGAAGTTTAACGAGGTCTTAATAATAATTTTTAAAAAGAGAGAGCTACATCAACTTAGGTTCGGGTTATGCTGGCTTAAATTTTTTAGAGAAACATCATGTAAATATTGACAGAAAATTGAATTCATTCATCTTTATGTAGGGGGCTGTAGATTGTGACGGGTAGCCGGAATGAGTGGGGGTAGACCTCGGACAATACAGATGACAATGGCAGCCTGAGGAGTAGAGTTGGTGCTCTTTATTCTGTATGGACACACCGCTATAAGCGGGGTGGAAACGGGGTCGAGTAATGATAGACAGTTATCAATTACAAAAATAAACAACGACATATCTTTCAGAATTATGACAAAAATAGGTAAACATTTGAATCGTTAATGACATTAACTTTAACTTATTTAAGACATTGCAAATGCCCAAAGTGTATAAGCTGGATCAATAACGAATTCCTAACATAATTAATCAAACTCAAAAAATCATAATTCTTCGTTAATCAGGTTTATCTATACTGTACACCAAAACCTAATACATATTCATTAGCGCCCAAGTTCCCGACTACAATAGTCACACTCCAAGGCCCAATTTTCCATACACACAAACGCATTCTACACGTACCCGTACAGGCATAGCCTACGCATCCATTTCCTATACGTGTAATCTACTCGTACATTAAAAAGTCACACCCTCTGAGCATTACGTAACAACAATATCGCCTTAAATTACACTTTTCTGTTAACAAATATCATGTTCTTTGAACATATTTTTAAGCCTTATAATAAAACTAATTCGTTTAAACCAGGATATAAACAAAACATAGTAGCAATATTATCAAATTTAACAATTTAAACACACATAAAAACTAAGCCTTGCTTACCTATAAGCGGGGTGGAAACGGGGTGAAGGTCACGGTTCTAAAGCCCGCTACCAACGACCTCCTTACATTTAATTGTTTTCCTCCATGATAATGATACTACTACTGACTACCAATACCATTACTAATTATATATACTTATAAAAATGATAATATAAATAGTACTTTTATATTTCGATGTTTTATTGATACTTTTTAGTTCACAAAACATATTACATGGAAGGATACCATAAATCTTTTACATAATTGATGCATATATATAATTTAATATAAATCAATAACTTGACACATCTGTTAACGAAGTATGATAGAAATTTCATCGTAAATAAATACAATGAAATCTAAAACTAATCAAAATCGTTTAAAGTGGTAGACTACCACTTTAAACAATTTTGATTAGTTTTAGATTTCATTTTAATTATTTATGATGAACTCTTTATCATACTTCATTAACAGATGTGTCAAGTTATTGATTTATATAATAGTATACTATTCCATTTTCTATGATGAAATGAGAACTTGCCTCGGAAAAAAAAAAATATTACACTTAAAAAAGCTTAGGCCTACTGTTTGATCATATTGATCCGATGTCTCATTTTCGCCAGCACAAACGTAGGCTAGTTCGCGTATATATATAGCAGACGGCAATCGATGAATCAGACGACACTTGATAGTGATTTTGTATGTGAGATTGCTTTGCTAAATATAAAATACAAGAATCTGTTCCATATCTTCATTGATATCTAATAATTAAACAGTTATTAAAATAAACCTACCAAACTACATAATACAATGAAATGGACATAATGAACCTATCAGAACTGATCTATGATAATTCATGCTTGTTATCCTTCGTGTACCTGACCCATAACCTTACAATCGCGTGGCAAATTGCGTCCAAAGTTCGACTTGTTTCATATGTGTTATATAGGCAATGGCGAGCTAGCGACCTATTTTAATAACCAAATTACGGTGGGTGAACTTTCAAAAGTCAATGAGACATGAGGGTTCCAATGAAAGAGCTAGTGTCAACGTACGTCGGGGTGGATGTGCTTTTCGTTAAAACAAAAAATGAATTTTTAACGATATATTTTTTTTTTTTTTTTTGGGGGGGTGGGGGGTAAAAGTCCAAAGGCTAACGTACATGTTAGGTTGCTGGACTCTGACGATAGGGGCGTTGTCCAATGAGACTATTCGGAGCCATATGAACTTTGTTAAGCGTGAGACCGTTCACTTCTATCTCTCCCCGCCAAATAATCCGAACAAAAGAATCAATCGAGGGGAATCAACGGTTAAACGAATTTATCATGAGTCCTTGAAAAATTAATTAATTAGTTTTCCATTTATCCTCTTTCGAGGGACTTTATTTGTTCATATCATAAAAAAACAGCTATTTACAACAGTGTTTAAATACAAAATTCATGCAATTGTAACATATCATACATAGTACAGAACATGAAACTAATGTGACATAATCACTAACTAAAATAATGAAAACATTTTTGTAACTTTTGTAACTTCGTTTGTATCGAATTTCTTTTGATTACATTTCATATTGAGATAGGTGCGAATTTCCACCTTTAATTCTTTTATCAAATATACAGCATGTTTCCTGTGCTTTCACTTCCAAAACATTCTCTAATATAGTTTCTATAGATAATAGCTGAGCGAAGTTTAAAATAAGATTGACAAGATTCATTTCTCTTCTCTCTATTTTATGACCTATGAAAAGAATTTCTTCGTTCAAAAAGATTTTAAAATTAAACAAAGTACCAATTAATTTGGATACAATCTTCAAAAAAAGCGAAACCTTCTTGCAAGCCAGGAGAAGGTGGTTAGTTGTGTCCGGAATTTTACATATATCACATAGATTATTATTTTTAATCTTTCATTTACATAAATTGTCTTTACTGGGCAATATTCTATGAAGATATTTGAAATTAAACTGCTAAATTTTGTTGTCATTTATAAAGTAAAATTTATAATGGAGCAACGTTTTCCAGTTAAACTCATTAGGTAAATCAAAATAAGCGTTCCAAAAATAAATGTACGGCAGATCCTGTCTATTTTTTTCTAACATCAAATTAAAATAATGTTTGGCTTTCATGACCGCTACATCAATGGAGTCACCTGTTACAATTTTTATTGTACTGGATTCCACTGCAGACGGTGGACTTTTTACATATTGTAACCTTTTACGTAATTTCTGCAACCAAATGCACTTTTTTTACTTTCCCAATTTGAAGGCGGAAAGTAATTCATTTTCTTGAAAATTAATACAAATAGAATCAACTTCTTTCCAGATACCGTTTACTAAGACTTGTTTCACTTTAAAAATATTGTTTCTCATCCAGTTTGGAAAATACAATAACTCATTCATATCTTTAATATTGCTTTTATACCAAATCATTTCATTTTCAAGATCTGTTACTTTAAACATATCAATATATTTTAATTCAGCCCAAGAACAAAACATGACAACATAAAAGTTAGGCAACTGTTTTTTCTACATATACGATACATATCACTTTTTTTGCAATTAAAATGCAAAAAAAGTGGCAAATCCCCAACTTTCTTGATCCAATATTTAAACAACATTTTCCAAACACTTTGTTCGTCTCTTAAATATTTATGAATCCATGAAAGACGGAGTGACCGGCATTTTGACTCTAAGTCGATCATTCCCAACCCCCCTTCTACTCCAGGATTGTGACAGATGTTTCGTTTCACCTTTTCTGTTTTAGAATTCCATAAAAATGTGTAAGCCAGTTTATTTATACGTATTGATATGAAAAAGTGGAAATAAAACAAAACGAACAAACAAACAAACAATTATTTTAGAAGGGATCGGAACTGCCGTGGCAGTATGTACTATCTAAGACATAACTAAATGTTTAATCACAGCAACTTTTCCGTACAATGTAAGTTTTCTCATTTTCCATAAATCCAAGGTATTCTTTATTTTCTCTACTTTACTTTCCCAGTTTAAATGTTTACCTACATAAATACCAAGACATATAGGGTCTTCGGTGAAATGTAAATCTTCAACTTCATCGTCATTTATATTTAGTTTTATAAGATTTGATTTGATCCAGTTAATTTTTGGTCCCGCATGTGCTCCAAACAGTTCTACTTCTTTCATTATTTCTTTAACAAATTTAACAGATC